GTTCAACTGTTGACTCTTGCCCATTGAAGCAGTTAGAGTCAACGAGTCTTTGTTGAATGTGCTCATAGGTTGGATTGTCCAATGGCACGAGTGTGCTTCTGAAGCGACAATGTCTTCCTGAGGGAGCCATGTCGGAGCTGTCATTTGATGCTTCGTTGTTAGATATTTATGTCTTTCTTTGTGGTACCCCTTTGGGGGTTGTGTTGTAGAATGCCAGCAAGAAAACGAGGTTCATGTGCAGAGGCGCCTATTTTTCAACGCTGAACTAGGCTGAACTCGCCTTTGGGATGGTATCAAAGGAAAGCCCAGGAGCAAGCCAACCATTTTTGGAGTCCCTCATTGCGGTGTTTTTTGGTCCCAAGCACAACAAACACTCATCCACAGCACAAGCTAAGTGGGGCTTCCCCCCGTTGCAACCACATCCCGCCTGCACGGCTAGGCCATGACGCCGCCCAGCCCGCCTTTGGCGCGGGCCCCGGAATCGCCTGGATGTCCACCAGAGGTTCCCCCAGTAAGCGTTGCACCCAAATGGCGGCCCCTAATGCTTGGTTTCCCCGGGGGTTCGCTTTTTGTTCCAACCCAAAGGGGTCCACCGTTTTCAAAGACTTGTCTATGGTAGTGATGACATCGGCAACACTCATCAACCATCATGATGTGGTTCGTTTGTGCAACTGGTTGTCTAGGGTGCACATGGGCCCACTCTGGTCCGGGGCTCACTTCCTACAAAGTGAATGCACCTGGCTAGCTGCAAATCCCATTTTTCTGAAGCGACCCTCTAGTCGCCATGGACATGGAGGGAGGGTAGGTAGTGGGCTGCCTTCCCATGGAGTGGTGGACTTGAACCGTAGCGGCTGGATGGGTTGCGGAAATTTTTGTAGGGGAAGCAACCACGGGATTTTTCTGTTTGAGGGTACCCTTTTCAGGTCGGGTTCAAGCGGAAACCAAAAGGAATGCCGCAATTTAGCGGGGTCTCCCCGCTTTGACGCACACCAAAACTTAGGCCCCCAGTAGTGCCCTTTTACCCTGTGTGGGAGGGTTCCCCTACTAAAATAGACGACAGAAAAGAATCGGGTACCCTTTTGCTAACCTCCCTGGAGGACCTAGGCATGTACATCTCCTCTCAGACGGCGCCGGCGTGAGGGCTACGAGCCGCCCCCGGGCTTTCCGCAGCACTTCCGCGTGGCCTCGATGCTCCAGCAGGTTCGGAAGGGCCGACGTGAGTGGCGAGGCTGTGGTGGTCAAAACCGTTGAACGGGATCCCATTTTGGTTGATTCACCACCCATGTTAGAACCTATAGTGGTTGGAGTGGGATGTGCACTGGTACGATTTGGATTTTGACCCATGCCCGTGTGGGTGCTATGAAGCATGGGAACTCCCCTCAAACGGGTGGTTTTTCTTTGGTTTCCGGGACAACCAGAGGGATCCCTCATGGGAACTCCCTCAATTTTCAGTAGCGATGTGGGTTTGTCTCCATGAATCACGGGAACCCCCCTTTGGTTTTCGGAACAACAAGAGGGAATCCTCGAAATGAGAACCCCCTCAAATGGGTGGCTTTTGTTTGGTGTCCGGAACAACCAGAAAAGAACCTCGAATTAGACACACCCAAGCCATGTGTGAGAATGTGTTGCATTTCTTTTGCGGGTGGTTTCAAAGGAAAGCCACAAGGAAAACGAATCGGAGGGCTTGGCTAAGTCCCCTGACCTGCAATAGGCAGCACGTATTACCACTCAATGTGTCATACCTGGCTCTTGCAACATTTGTCAAATATAGCTGCTTTGTCAAGAACTATGTTTTTCATCCAAACGGCTATTCTGTTTGCCTGCCGGCAGTTTTCATTGTTTGCGGACTCTGGTATCAATCAAAATTGCAAAGCGTCGCAGCTTGCCGGCGAAACGGCATGATTTGCCCGCGAAACGGCGTTGTTTCTTGCCTGGTCATCGAGCTGGACTCACGGCGAGCGTTGTTTTCTCAAAAGGAGCATGTTTGTTGCGCGCCGCCCTCGTTGGGGCCCACCTTCCCCTCCCGGGACCAGGATCCTGCGGGTCTGGTGCCCTATGCAGACGTGGCCTTCGACGTCGGCCGAGGGCCGAGGGCATTCGGCATCCTGACCGGGCGGGCGACCGGCGACCGTGCAGTAGAGGAGTTATTTGGCCGTGGTGGTCAAAATAAACCCAGGAATTGGACCGCAGGTTTTGGTCTTTGGTTCCATTTATCAGTGCAAAGCCATTTTGGGCACGCATGTTTGACCCACAGCCATTTGGCTGTGGTTGTCAAAACCGTTTTGGGATCCCATTTTGGTTGGTAGGTGAATTACCCAGTTTTGAACCTATTTTTAGTAGTTGGATTGGGATGTTCACCGGGGGCTAACCCGGATTTTGACCCATGGCCATTTGAGGTCCGGGCTACATGTCCAACAACATTATTTTGGAAATATGTGGGGCTGGAATTCCTAGCTTGATCCAGATGTTGAGAGGTTTGACGCCGTGCAAGGTGCCGGACTCTGTGCGAAGCAAAAGTAAACAAAAGGTCATACAGCGAGATATGTTTTTCACCCATGCTGAATTCCTTTATGGCCCTTTAGCCAGAGCCTTGATCATTTGACGCAAGACTGCACTCCACGCTCGCGCAGGATTTGGTGGCAGTGGCAATAGTGGTTTCTTTTTGGCTTTGGGGTCTGGTGGGTGTGGGTTTGTAACATATTGGTGGCAGCATGTTTTGCAATATGGATGTGTGTTCGATGAGGGTACCCTTTTCAGGTTTAAAGGGAAACAAAAAAGGACCAAACACAGTGTTGGGGGTGGTTGCCTTATCTTTGAGGCATTGGAACCGTGATGAGTTGCCAAGGTCCAAATCGGCAGGGCGTGGCCACGGGGCGCTTCCTAGCGCACCGGGTAGCCCGGGAGCCCACTGCGGCCTGTGAATGGACGTCAATGGAGTGGATGAGGACGACCCCATTTAGTTTGGAGTTTCTGGGCAACAGATTCAGCTGGCCATGAATGGATGGAAAGATCTGAGGGGTGCGACATGCACTTTGGAAGGAATGGTGGACTTTAGGACTTTGAGGAGCCCAAAACAGGACCTACGCTATGCTCCACAGAAGATAGTATCCGCAGAAGACACGCCTTCTTGGAACTGGCATCTTTGTAGACGCAAAAACCGTACTGGGAAGCTTTACAGGAGGTGTTGGCTTACACTTGCTCAGAGGGCTCTAGTTAGGTCCAGTTCGGCTTGTCTGAATCTAGGAAAGGCTTCCTGTTCAAATCAGAACCGAAAATGGCGCCCTCAACAACGCACATGTCCCGAAGCTTGGGATGGAGCTGCATGGAGGTTGTGCGGTCATTGATCCAAAGCTTTGACGGGAAGAGATCGCTGTAAGATGAGTTTGGGGATGAATCGAGCCACAAGCCTGGGAATATACTTCAATACCAGTTTCGGATATGGCTGTGGGTCAAAACTACGCACCCGAAATGGAACCCTGGCAAAATAAACAAGTAGACTAAACCTGCGTAAGCCGAGGTCTTGAATTTTGAGCCACACCCATATGGCTTATGGGATTGGGGGCTCTCCTTATGGCTTTGAAGAGACTCAATCGCCATACTCCTTTCAAGTTCCGATTGTGTCTCCATTGCTTGTTGATGAGATGCCGAGTGTGCAGCTAAGGAAAACTAAAGGGACGGTTTAACTTCTCCACTTCCCGCCCGGCACATTGAATGCAAAGGTTCCCCTTTAAAGATGTTTGGAAACCTGACGCATGCACTTGTTTCACCCAGGAGCTGTGCGATGTCTTGGCAAGCGCGAAGGTGGCGGTGCCGCAGCCATCACAGCTTTGTTTGCGAACGAAGAGTCTGAGGAAGTCTGCGGAATGAAAGCCCAACAAATCGCATGCAGCAAAACAATGTTGGACATGCCTCAAGCAGAGCCAGATGGTTGAGGAATGTTGAGAAGATGCGTTTGAACTAGCTTGCCATCAACTAATTATTGTCCGAAGCTGTTTGTGCAGAGCAATACACAACGTCTGGGCCAGTCAGCCTGGACGTGTTCCGTGGAATGACCATGCAGCTTTGTTTGGCATGAGTTGACACTTGGCTTCATGATACGCTCAAGGCAGGCTTGGGAAGCTGAGTCGATTTCATGGAAAGCTAGGAAGCGGGAGTTGTATACACTTTTCCCACGGCGAGCTGTGAGGCTGATCAAATCTCGTATCTGCTGCAGCCGGTTGTTGTTTTCGCATGTCATAATACAAACGAACAGTTGGCTCTTAAGTTTCATTAATGCCCTCAAAGATAGTCACTGGTTCGCGGGCATGCTATCCACAACAGTGACATTTGAGTGAAACGGTTTCCACTATGATCGCGTATTGGGAGGTAGCTGAATGGTGTCATGATGCTGCTGCTTTGTGTTGGTGCATGTTACCAGTAGCCCCGTGTCAGTGCGGTTGTATGAAGCGTCAAATATGCTGGATACTACCGCAAACCCTCAAGCCGGCATGGCATGGTACATGTAGCTGTTGATGTCCGCCTTGTAATGCCATTGTTTTGCCCGATCTTGCTGGTTTGCAGAGGGCCTCACCGGGCCCATTCAATTACATGCAGATCACGGCCATAGCGGGAGCTGCAGACAGTCGGGAATTGATTGTTTTAAGTAGATTGAAAGACACCTTGCCCATGCAAGAGAACATCCCAGCCAGTTTGGACTATTCTCCACAATCGGAATCACATGGAGTCACCGCAATAACAACCGGTTGGGTGTGTATGTGCATGATTGCGCATGCCCATCCAGGGCATGTGATTACTCACCGGGTAGTGACAGCTTCGTGGCATATTGGAAGTCCCCCCGCCTAAGTACTCTACTTCCCAGAACGGTTCTCAGAATCCTTTGAGAACCCGTTCCAAGAAGCTTCCCAAGAGGCCTGATTTTTTCTCCAGGAATCAGACGGCTGAAGCAGACTTGCGCCTTGCTTCGCGAGCCAAGGAAGGCACCATCTCCGCATATCGAACTTATGGCGCGGTCACTTCTGTTTCTGCAGCCTGGCGCAATCGGACAGGATGCACTGCAAGAAAAAAAATGACCCACAAACAGGTATGGGAAAGGAAGCCGCCATGGACCGAACATGTTGGGTATGTATTGCCAGGATCGACACCCTGTTTATTCATATAGAAGTGTGTTGAATGTTGGCAGGGATCCATTACTTTCGGTTCGAACCAGGCCCTATTGATTCACGAGTCGATGGTTTGTGTGGTCTGGACATCATTGACACTCCGCTTTTCGACTTGGAGACTGCCGCTTTCATGTCCAAAGCCGCCAGGGTGTCCCCTCAAGATGAAACTGAACTCGGTACCAGTGAGCAGCGTTTTTTTTCTCAGATGATGGAATTTAGCTTCGTGGGGAACTCCCAAAAGGTCCGCGAAGGCACTTGTGTGGTACGTTTGCTGAGAGGAAGTGTGGCCTTGGTACCAGACAGCATCATGTGTTTTGGCAATGGTAAAGGCTAGTTTCTCGCAAGCGCACCAGACGGATTCTCGTCTCCTTGGCTGACTGTTGCTTTGCTTTCCATGTTTGCGCAGTTGGCGAGGTGAAACGGGCTTGGTACATGGCCATGGGTCAACACCAATGGGATCCCATTTTGGTGTAGGTGCACCACCCATTTTAAAACCTATTCTTTAGTGGTTGGATTGGGATGTTCACTGGGGGTACGATTTGGCTTTTGACCCACAGTCACATTCCGAAGCCAAACGAAGAGCTTCAGGCCAAGGCGAATTCGAGTTTGTTTGGATCCAGCGTGAGCACCTCGTTGGCCAAAGACCCTTGAAGCAGAGCAATGTGAAGGACCTTCGTTGGCGACTCTGCAAATTATGTCTTGGTGGCTCTCAGCCATCCGATTCGGAGCGGCGCAAAGGCTTCCCAAGAAGGATATTCTTATGAAACGTGGAGGGGTTCGTTGGCTTTCTTGTCAACTTGTTGAGAGAGTGAGCAAATCAGCTTGACACATTGAGTGTTGAACGGGTCTAAGGAATTGTTGCGGGGTTGCGGAATACTTCAACATGCCAATCAAGCTATGCTGTTTTGGAGCAACCCATAGACTTCCTGTGGCGTTCAATTATTTCCCATCTTGCTTCAGGCATTTGGTGGCGCCCGTTTCGGTGCCGCCTTTGTTTTGGGCCAGATTGCAAACTGGCCTTAATGGAACAGTGATATATGGCTGTGGGTCAAAACCAATGGTACCATGTTGGGGTAGGTGCACCACCCATTGTAGAATCTATTTCAGAGGTTTCACTGCGGGGTTACCGGGATTTTGATCCACAGCCACATTCCGAAGCCAAACGATGAGCTCCGGGCCAAGGTGCTGTGAATGTGATTTTGTTTGGCTCGGGGGGGGGCGGTGCCGCCCTGTATTTTCTTCGGCAGATTGCAAACTGGCCTTATTGGAGCAGTGATATATGGCTGTGGGTCAAAACCAATGGTACCATGTTGGGGTAGGTGCACCACCCACCACCCATTGGAACAGTGACGTATGGGGGGAGACTGGGACAATTTTTCGCGTTCTCCGGTTTACACCTCTCGAGGCTGGCCTTCGGCGCCGCTTCCGGCGCCCCGCGCTCGGAAGCCCAGCGGAGGGCAAGGAAGCGAACCAACCCCCCCCCTCCCCCGGTTTTGGCCGATTGAGAGGGAAGCGAAAAGAACAAGCATTTGAGGAGGTCCCGAGGTCGCTCATTTTGAGAGATGCAACTGTGTTGGCTTCTCAGTGGTCTCAAACATTGTCTTTTTCGCCGATGGGAAGCAAGCTTCCTTTTTGGTTGGGTGAGGTTTTAATTGGGCAGTATAAGGAAGCCTGTGAGATGCAAAGCAGAGTGTGTGCTTGTCATGCGATTTGTGCGTTTTGAGACTCTTCTGCCCGAATGGGTGCAATTGGCGAGGAGGCTCGGGTTGGAATCAGCCACCAGCGCTCACAGCCCCACTGCGGTATTTGACAATGATTTAGATGCCACATGTGTTGTTTGTGACTCAAATCTAAAAGTGATTCCTTGACACAAGAACTGCCCTACCATTCGCAGTTCATTCAAGAACATGGTACGCCAACAGGGAAGACGCCCTCATTGCCATGAGTACATGATTGTTGCCCGTTGCATGCTTCATGTCGTTCGCTGCCTGCAGAAATCATGTTTTTTGGAGTTTGATCCCTGCTTGATGCATACGCGCTAGCATCACAGAATCCTTCCTCAATTGGCAGTTGGGTGCTTTGTCATCACCAAATTGTTTTCTCTGGCTATGTTCCTTTTTGCGGTCCCTATCATTTGAAAGAATATTTGGAGACATAGCCAGAGCCAAACTTTCTAATGCGCTTGCAAGATCTTCCACGCGATGCATTTTCGCGCAGTTGCGAGCATGGGAGCAGATTGAGCTGTTCTTGTTGTTTGCTCGTAAGTTGCGGCGCTCAGTGTCACCGGATGACATATCGAAGCCATGCTTGGAATGTGCCTTTGACGGAAAGACTGAACGCCATGAGGCTTCAAAGCACTGGCATTGCCACCTTTGGGTGGGGGTTTTAGAATGTTCCGAGTGCAGTTTCAGCATGGTGGATGCTGGATTACCTGTAAAGCATGTCGTTGGCCTTTGGATCAACCGTGCGAAACTGGACCCAGCGGCATGCCGAGGGCTGGCCGACTGGGCCAGAGCCAGGACTGAGAAGAAGCTTGTGTTTCAGTTGGATGTAGAAGGTATGTAATTTTAACCCCGGATACATAAACCCCTGGTTGATTAATAGGGGCGTGTCCCCTTTTAGCGGGGATTCATCACCCCCCGAATAATGGGACTGGCTTATTAATCCTGGGCCAACATTATATTGAGTATTGGAGAGTCTAATTGTTCCTGAAGATCTTGTGATATGCTTTGCATTGATCTGTTGTGGTAGGCTTGAATGATGTGGGGATTGACAAAAGGCAGCGTTTTCTTGTAGCAGCAAGGCGCATCATGGCTTGCGTCTCACTTTGTGATCCCGCTGGAGCTGTCCACCAGTTGGGTGCATCAACCCCCCAAGCTGATTTAGCGTTGTCCCGCTGTCACTCAGCAGCTAAATGTATCGTTGGAAGTATATTGCACATTCCTGACCAAGATGTTTGGTCAGGGTCGACAGTGAGTCTGAGTCAACATGAAGGGACGTGTGCGGGGCCCGACATCCCAAATGCAACGAGAGTTCAGAGAGAACACACCACATGTGGCAAAGCTTGGGTTGGTAGGGACAGTCATCAATTCCTGTATCAGGATGTTTGACCATTGTAAGGGTTTCTATTCAGGGAACCATGGCCATGATCTATATTTGTTTCTGGAGCTTCGAGCATGGCACACTTAGAAACAAAGACCGGGTCTGTTTGTCACGGCTCGCTCACCGCTGGCTGCTAGGAGACGCAGCAAGCAGCTTCATGTGGAAGTTGACGCTCGCAGCACATGTAGCATCCTTGTTGGTTTGTGGTTCTACGTGTGTTTCTCAAAATAACATGGCGGACCCCCCATTTTTGTTTGGTTTTTTAAGGGACCCCAAATGGACACCAACCATTTTAGGAGACCGCCATTTGGAGAACCCCCCCCCCCCCGATGGATTGATTACAGGCGAAGTAGGGTCTGCCATTCGAGGAAGCACAGTGCTAACCAAGTGTGCAATGCTCAATGTGTTCGTGCAGCAGAAGCAGGGGGGCTAGCCCGCACGTACTGTACATGCAGTTGTATGTTTCATTAATCCGGTTGGCAGAAGACGAGGGGGAGTTAGTGCTTGTTTGCCACCTCCGTTTGTTCGTTTGTGAGTTTCAAGCTGTCCATGCCAGTGTTAAGCCATAACTAAGACTGCGGAGTGCAGGGGATTTGACAAAGTCGTGCCTCAGTTCGAGTCATTGCCTCAATTTCAGCGGGAGAAGGTTTCGAAGAAGTCGTGCCTTTCGGTCCCCAAACGCATAGGAACTCAGCGACTTTTCGAAGGCTTTGCACTGGAATTCCACAGGCTTGCCATGTCAGGACATGTGCCCCGAAGAAGTAGCATCGTTGTGTTTGGGTGAGCAGCGCTTTTTCCGGAATCAAGGCTTCGTACAAAAAGGGAACCAAATCATGTTCGCACAGGCAATTTAGGTGGGGGGCGTAGTCAGTCACGTTACCCGGTTTGGAACAGCTTCCGCATTGTAGCTGGAACGATGGCATTGCAACAGCCTTGAGAGACATGTGGGAGAAACAGCGTGGGCAAGCTGGCATTGCGTTGCTTCTGAGCCTAGACTCTCCTGTAACGACTTGTAGTATCCTTAGCGTTCCAAAGGTTTTCCTTTTATTGCAGACGCCTTGTGGGGCTGAACAATGTGTTTTTCCATCATTAGCACTCCATTGTGTTTCAGTGTTGGTGCCTGTGTTTTTTGGGAACACGATCGGCTCCGTGATGTCAAGCGTTCCATGGGGGGGCGTGGTTTAGGACTGACTTCTTGGACTCGGTGTTTTCAGGGTTTGAACACATGGCTACAGAAATACTGGAGTGACTTAGGCATGACTTTGTCCTTTGCCTGTAGAGGAGACGGAGAGGCGAGATTGTTAGCAGAGATGAAAAAAACGATTGGCTACACAATAGCTTCCGCTCAAACTGTTAGCACTTTATGGTCCATTTCAATCTCCCATGTCTAGTCGGGCAACAGTGAGCTCCTTTCATCCGCATCTGAGGACCCGCATGGCTCAATCCATGAAGAGCGCGAGTCCAGGCTTGCGAGAATTCTAGGATGTGTCATGGGCGCATATGGGCGCAGGGGCCTTGATTTGAGTACTGAGATCCGAGCAGGAGTGCCCAGAAGAGCCAGGAGTGGTTTTAGTTTGGTGTTCCTTCAGACCAATTTTCTATATATAAAGGGTACACCCGTGTATGAGCAATGTGAAAATATCGGGGACCCACAGATGTCAAGCACAGAAACCAGAAAGACTGAACGGCGGCTAGATTTATGCCACCAACCACTTGCTGTACTCCCCTGCAAAAAAGCAAAATGTGAGTCTCAGGAACGGAGACTCCTCTCAAGGGGGAGAAAACTTGGTGGCTCCCAGCCGTCCGGTTCCTTAGCTTTTTAGCCTTTTAGTGTTTAGTGGTGGTTTCCATTTATCCTGGTATTATACCACCGGCCACGTTACCAACCATAGTCATGTGGGGCACTCAAAGTTAAACCTTTCGCAGGGGATCAGAAAACGTGCAGCCCAGAAAAGTCCTGGGCATATTTGTCACTTTCGCGGCTTTGGAGGCGCCTGCTGGAGCTGCAGACGGTGCCACAAGACCAAGGCGGCGGTGCTTTACGCCGCAAAAACCTTCGGTTCGGAGGGTGTGCACTCCCTCGGACTAACATGGAAGCTCCCAGAAGGCCTCTGCAAATGGAACCAAGTCTTCCAAAGGGGTGCTGGGAGCTTCCATGTTAGTCTGGGGGAGGGTAGGTGGTGTAGATGGACCTTATGGGGTACGGGTTTTCTGGTTCTTGAGGGTTGCCCTTGAACACCTCCAAGCCAGCAAGTAGAGGGAAGCCGAGTTTGGGCACCTGCCAAACGAGGTGATGAGACGGCTATCATCTCCCTTCCTTCCCGCTTTCCCATTCTCGTCTATCACCGTCCACTCGCTTCTCTCCCTTGACCGTTAACGAGAACCTGTACAAGAGGAGTTGGGGAGAGATAAGTGAGTGAGGAGGTGGCATGATGGTTCTTTTTCCCACCTCCAACCGTCCCACCTTTCCAAATCCCAAGGTGTTACACGGTTGTAGGTGGGGAACCTGATGTAGGAAGGTTGGGAAGCAGGAAAACCGTGAATACAGAAGGGAAAGGAACGGTGGGGAGTGGTACTCCCACACCTCGCTCTCTCTCACATTTTATTTTCCCTTTATAATATCATCCTTGTATCTCCTGCCTCTTAATCAAGATGTTAGTGAAGGCAGGTAAGGATGAGATGGGAAAAGATAAAGAGAGGAACATAAAGTGATTGGGAAATCCATTCTATCATTATCAGTCTATTATGACCTTGTGGCCTTTGGTATCAGTAATCCCAGAAGCATGTTGTGGGGAAACCATTTTCGAACCTAGTAAACCCGGCAAATGTTTTGCAGTACGCATTGCCGTGTTTTGGCAGCGTGATGGACTGGACACACACACACACACATGGCAGCTGAACAAATTGTCGTTGAGCGTCCAACAAGCAAGCAACACACAACATGCTTAAGATTCCAGGGTGCATGTGTGAACAATTGCCAAAAGGTTCTATTTGAGTCCCCCCAAAAAAGAACGGAACACGATTTTGAGATATTCAAGATCCATCACAATTTAAAGCGGCCAAAAGACTCCAATTGAGCATCCCCGAGCATGAAGTGGGTTTGGCGAGGCTCCATTCTTGCCATCCCTGCCACAAAGAGGGCCTTGGTGCACTTCTGACATGGAACGATTTGACCGTTTTTCCTGAGGTTCTGCGAACGATGTGACGACGACAACTGCTGCGGGAAGCAACGATGTGACGACGACAACTGCAGCGGGAAGCGGTAAGGATGTCAGTCCTTTGGACGCAGCTTGCTTGCAATGAGGGCTTTGCCTCAGGGGCAACTCCAAGAGCGCGCAGAGAAATCATAAACTTTTGCTGCTCTAGCGGAAACGTTACTTGCAGCAAGATTGACAGTTGCACAATATCATGTTGTGGGTGTAGTGATGGTGTACTCCGCAACCAGGTGCAGGTGGCGCTTGCTGACCCGAACCAACTTCCTTCACATTTCATCGGTAAGTTGGCTTTGCTCAATTAGATTTGCATGGCAGTGTCCCTTTTTGTAGCAGTGCTCCACTACGAACTAACGTTATGCATTCCCCCTATTTTCGGCAAGGGTTGAGAACTTCCCTTGTTCTCTCCCGGCTGTTCACATTCGCTTTCTCAAGTTGCCCTTAGCCTTCGGCTTTTGTTGCAGTAAAGATAGTCCAGGTTCGCCTTTGGCAATGGCTGAACTGTTGCAACTGCACGCTCAGTGTTGCAGATGTGGCCAGCTGGCAAATACTTTTTGCGCTTTGGTCCTGATTCACCCATGGAGTCAAGTTGCAATCCTGGAAAATGAGGGGGTTCCCTTTATATAGTGCCCATTGGAAAGTCACACCAAGCGGCCTTGCGAGTGGTGCCTTTGCACTGGCTGTGCCAAGGAAGACAAGCCTGCCTCTTGGCTGCAATCGAGTTTGCAATGGTTCTCATGTTGCAAATGGGCACGACCGATAAGCAACAGACTAGAGAACAGGGGATTTGTTCTCGGACGCACTTCCCTCATTTGCATGGGCTCAATTGTTGTCGTTCTTGGAATGGGATGGCCTTCAAACGGTTGTAGATCACCTACTTGGCAAATTGCTGACGCAGCAGGCGAAAACGCAGAAACAACACACACTAATGGTGACAACTGATTAGTAAACCCCCCCCCTCCCCCCCCCCCCATTCAAGGTCGACAAGGTTTGGACAAGTCCCAAAAATTGAGATTTTTGGGAGGACCCCTGATTACTCTGGTACTTCTGGTCCCTTCGGGGCAGTAGGACTTGAAAAAGCAACAGCACATTTTTTGGTTTTGAGCCCAAAAGGGCCCTGATTAATCGCGGGGGGTTTCCTGTTAATGAGGGGGGACTGGCCTCCAAGGGGATCCCCTTTGTGAGCTTGAAAGCCTTGTCATTTTAAACAGATTTGAATAAAGAAAAATGCATTTCGGGGGAAGCACATTTTTGGGAAAAACTTCAAGGGTTCAATAGTGACTTAGTATTGGTGGGTTTAAGCACAGACTAAGCAAAGACTAAGCAAGAAGGAAAGCACCTTTTCTGGCAGGTTTTTGTTGGCTTGGGGGCTGCAGAGGGATACCTTTAATCAGGCAGGGTTTTGGGGAGGGCCCAAAACTAATTGGGTAGGGTTTTTTGGGGAAACCTTGTTAGCACTTTTACTTTAGTATTGGTGAGAGTCTGGGGGGGGGAAAAAGGGGAACCTTTAATCGGGGGGGTTTACTAATCGTCTCCTGACATTAACCACCACTAGCAGAAGTAAACGAAAAAGTTCCGTGGATTCCACCCTGCCAGTCCCCGTTTTGGATCGGTTTCCCCGCGAAGAAGGCAAAACAAAAGCAGCCGACTCGACGCGTGCTGCCCCCTCACGCCTAAACCGGGCCCAAACCGGCCGGCAGCTCACGCAGGTCACCTGCCGCAAGGAGTTGGATCCCGGGGAGGATGGCCAAGTGGACGGCAAGAACGACAAGACCAAGCTGGTCTGCACACAAGGCCCGGCTTTTTATCAGCCCAAATCTGGTAGTCCATAAAAAGAAGCCCAAATCAAAGAGAAGCAAAGAACATGCTGGGAGGTACGCCGGACAAGAGCTTCTTTTAGCTGATGTTTGGTTGGCAGCCCTGTCAGCGGAGCTGACCTGTTGATTTGGATGTCCCGAATAGCTCCGAACACTTTGGTTTCTATTTGTAGGTCCTCCAAATACAACACACGCAGCGGTGCTCTCAAACTCTGTTGCTCAGTGGATTCCGCCCTTTTGATTGGACTTTTGTTTGGGGTTTAGGGTTTCCCCTTTAAGCTCACCCACCACAAAAGGATGTCGATTCTTTTTGCCCCATGGGAATCCACCGGGCAGAGAAAATGCCCCTGGTTTGCGTCCGCAGCTTCAGGCGGAGAGGTGGTGAAGCCTTGGAAGTGCGAGCCGGGGCAGAGCATCTGCTGCAACCCCCGGATGAAGGAGCTGTGAAGTTGTGGCCATGTCGTGTTTCTATCGCATCCCAAATATCCTAGATTTTATCGCCGATTCGCAATAGTCCACCATTGCCATGGGTGTCGTCCTCCGTGTCCGGGTTTTATTTCTCGGTGGTTTCCGTTCCGTTTTTTGTTTGGTTCTCTTTTTTCTTCTTCTTCTTTTTTCCCTTCGGGTTACTTTTTCATGATTTGGAAGATCCAGGTGGTGTTCTGATCGCAATATTTCGGGGCAACTATGGTTGGACTCCATGGTCGCGGTTTTAGGTTTGGTCCAATGGGAATGCTTAAATCGCACGTGTCCCAATCCGCATGTGCGCGGCGCTTGGACCCTCTGGGTATGTATCTTGTTTGAGGGTGCCCCATCTGAGCTCTTGGGCAGAAAGCTAACAAAATGTCATGTATATTATATTATATTGAGACAAGCCTGCTTGGCCAATGTCAACTTCCCCCTGAAGGCGAAACAAACAGCATGGCGACTTCTACGGGAATTCCTAAGACCAAAACGGCCCGGCGGATTGTTTCACATTCGCTGGCTGCCACATGGGCGCACTGCGTTTCGTTCTGTCGCACCTCAGATGTTGGTGAAGGGCCGCGAACATAGGACAGAAGCAAAGAGTAGCCGGTGATATTAACAGCAACGAGCAGCATAGCTGTGGGCGGGAACTACTTTTGGCCATAGACTGCTGTTTTGCCAGTCAGACTTGGAGCCATGTATAAGTGGTGCAGTTCGTTGTGGAGGCAGACTGTACATATGCATGTTCATTACGCGGTGATACATGGTGTGCTTCCCAACAACATTCACCCAGATTCGGAACATCATCCTTTCTCGTGACTTATACTTCTACTTGGCACTGCCAGACTGCTAACTCTCGCATAGCGTGCCAATTACCATCTTATGGAGGCCAAGCATCCCATTCCAGCACCAATGAACAAATTGGAAGGGTTGTCAATCATCGGAACCCCTTGTTGGCGCCTTTTCGACCCTGGCACAGCCCAATGGTCAAAAGACCTATTTTCCGGATGTTAGGATGGTCATGAGCCCTTGGTGTAGACAATAAATACCATTCCTGCTAAGGGAACCTCGCCATCAAAGTAGGGTTACATAGTTTTGACAGTCAGACAACAAAGGGTGTTTCTTCCGGCGGGCACCTCTCGGAGACAACAAGCTCAGGCAAATGCTTTGTAAAGCGTCACATTTGTTTGAGCCATTGGGTGTGGGTCAACACCAATGGTATCATTTTGGGGTAGGTGCACCACCCATTTTAGTTTTTTTTAGTGGGGATTGGGATGTTCACTGGGGGTACGATTTGGGTTTTGACACACGCATTGTTTACTTTGAGCAGCGGGAAGTAGGGCCAGAGGTGTCGCAGCTCGAAACGCCAAAATATCGGGCCAGGAGTCCTACTACCTTCGATGCCCCCTGGCCTCAGCAGGCTTTTCCATGACTATCGGACTCGATGTTTGCGTGTTATTTTTGCTAACCATCCTAGGTTTCCCAGTAGTGCCCTTTTACTCTTTTTTGGGGGAGGGTTCCCCTACTAAAAAGACCACAGAAAAAAAAGTCGGTACCATTGTGCCAACCTCTCTACTGGAGGACCTAACATCTCAACTGACCTTCTGGCCTCAGCAGGTTTTTCCTATGGAAACCCTCGGGTTCGATGTCTGCGTGTTATAGTTGACCTTGCAACGCTGGGTATTTCCCAGGCCTCGCGCGGGAATGCTACAAGGTGCAGTCGGCCTCTCGGCTGCAATTGGGGGCAGGGATGGCTTTCTGAATGGCCGGGTGTGAATCTGAGCAAGTCGTGGCGAGATGTTTCATCGACACCAAGGACTTCTGGAGCAAACTGTGTAGATATGTGTACCTTCAAGCACACAGATCAAAGCACTTACACACGGTGGACAGTTGAGTTGAATTTTCTCTGTCGCCTTTGCCAACAGATTACATTCGGACAGTCAAGCTGAACATGCTTTCTCACTCCACAGTCATTCTTCTTGGTGACACACACAGGGTGACTGGCCGGGCGGGAGGGGCAATGTACCCCGACTTAGTTGGGCTCCGCTGCCGGTCTCTTCTTCAGGTCCTGGTGGGCGAATCAGAGAGCCTCTCCCATGCGTTGCATCCAAGGACCCCCTGTGCAAAGAGCACAAGATGTGCACCTTGAAGTGTCAGAACAACTGCTGCTGCACCTTGGCACGTGGGTTGCTAGTCCAGTGGTTTACTGACAAAGCACAGAAACAAATGTGTGTTTTTTTTCGCGCTTTCCGGGTTCCACACGAACCGAATTCGGGACCTCCAGGCGCCTTCCTTTGGCTACCAGTCACCAGCTGGTATATGTAAAAGCCGCCCTTGCGTTATGGGTGCTACTGGGGTCCGCCAACTTTCAGGCACCAGAAATCCCTGGTGCAAATTGGTGTCGCTCTTCTGGTACAGTTGACGACTCCTCAATCCACCGCTGACGGTTTGTGTGCATCTCAGTTTTGAGGCTGCAATTCCTATTTAAATCAGATGTTGACATCCAAAAAGGCGTTTGTCTTACAAAGTTCGTTGCGACTTGAACCTGCAAAGGTCCCCCTCAAAAATGTATTAGTCGGCTTCATTGGATGATTCCTTCGGTGCACGCCTCCATGGATTGGGCTGCACAGGCTTCGTGGCTGGGACAGCATGGACGGTCAACACAGTGTACAGGAACGTCGAGCAAAAGGCCGGCTTTCGCCGAATTCCTTTGCCCTGCTCAGAGCCTGGCGCTAAAGTCTGCGGCTGCCGACAATCACAAATGAGCAAGGAGTGACTTTTTGACTTTTCGGCAAGAAGGGGGGACAGAAAATAATTTGGCCTTACTCATCATATTATGCTTACTGGTGACTTCTTTCATGTCACAGGTCGACAAGAGGCACACTTTGCCACTAATTAGGAGGCGTTTGGACTGTGGCCGGAACATGCAAGTCAATCTGCAGGTATTTTAGGCAGCTGCGTGCATCAAAAAGCGTCTTAATGTTTAGTTCGGAATCGGAGGACCAAACTAATCAGGTGAATCCCACTAATGCGAGTTAATTCATGTTGATTCCATCATCCCTGATTGGTTTGATGCTGGATTAAGCCGAAGTTGACGTCAGCCAGGTGAGGTTGACAGCCGGGTGAATGCAAGTGAACGTGTTCAGGCCTTGGTGATCATGATGGCTCTTCTGGGCACCATGAACATGGAGGATGAGCAGAACTTCAGCGACAACTCTACCAAGCGCCAGCTGGACCAATTTTAGCGCCCTTTCGTGACTGGAATTCGATGTGCTCACCTAGTGACAGAGCCCTTTCTGGCACTCAGCGTTTCCATTGCCAATCATTCAGAATCAGGCAGCAGTCGTGTCGTGTCAATGAATCAGCGGTGTCCCTTGGGTGAATCATGCCGCACAGCATCACACGACTACAGGTGTTCAAGCAACATCGCCAACCCCAGTCCTTGTTACTGAAAAATGTTTGCACAAGACATCACGCTATGGCCTATGGCCATGAGATGGTCAGTTTTCGGGCAGGGAACCGCTGCATCTCGCTCTAGCTCTTTTCTTGGGATGCGATGTGCATCGTTCTTAGAGGGGGGTGCACTTTGTGGCAGTAAAAGCAGTTGCGAGCAGGGGAAAACGGCTTTTGCCCGGTTTACATGCAGCATTCATCGGTATTCAGGAATGCAACCTAGAGATTCGGGTGTTCTTTCCTATGCCATCCTCGCCCCCAGCCAGAACCATGAATGCAGCGATATACAAGCGGTGTTTCCTCACCATGTCCGCCTTCAAACAATTGCAAGTCTGGCATTCCCCGCCTTCCTCACCCATTGTGCCTTGAGGCGAGGAGCCGGGGGCGCAGGAAAAGTGGATGAAAGCCACATGCTCGGAGGCGATGTACTTGCCCCTCTCGTCGAATACTTGGGCACTACAAAATTCTGGGGAAGTGGAATTGACAGCCCCCGTCTCAAGCAATCAACTAGCCAGGAAGAAGCATTTAAATTTGACACGAGCTCAAACGGAGATCAGTATATAGTTCTTTGCGTAGGAAAAGGGGGGTTCCAGACAGCTCGCAGAGAGTGGTTGCCGCAAATTCACCCGAGCTATGCGTTAAAGGAAGACTAGAGGCCGATGTCTACTTCGGTCAAGCGCAGCTATCAACGCAATCAAAGGCCTGGTATTCATCTCAGGGTGCAAGGCCTCCAACTGGCAGGCAGGCACCTGTTCGAAACGACCAAGCAAGTACATGTCATTTGCCATGGTCAAACGACCCCTTTGCTTGGGGTTGGCAGGGATGGTCATCAACGCGGGTGCATTCGGTGACACGATGTGATCTCTGGCCACAGCCGAAAGCTTTTCTACTTTGGGCATGTTGCGCACTGGCGCCCCTTGAATCCCATAATGATGAGCTTGTTTGCAAACAGGCGAACCACCAACGGGGCCTGGTTTCCCTTTGTTACTTGCACACCAACGAGAGGTTTCCTCAAACGTGCTTATATTGAGCTCCCAGCGCGCGTTGGGGAAATCGGCCCCCCGCCGAGGCTGGCGATCATGCCTTTCGCGGGCCTCAGCTTGTCGCTGATCTACGAGTGGGCCAAGAAAGCCGCGGGCAAGATGGGCGTCGGAGGCGAAGCTCTCAAAGGGAAGCCATTGTTCCAGGGTTGCTCCCAGCTGCAAAAAAACAAATACACCATAGACCCCAGATAGCAGATGGCATACCATGGCAAAATGACCCACGAGTGGGAAATTGTCCTAAGGGCTGAGCTTCGCCAGTGTTCATTCTCCAGACACCGAATCTCCACCCTTGTGCCGAGGGCTTTGGAGCATTCCTCTTGCGGAAATATTGGTTTGCGATCGAGTTCGATCATGAAGGTACCTTCTTCAAGACAACAAAATCCTTGTTTCGGCTTGGTCCTATAATCTATATCTATATATATATATATTATACATATGTCTATATATATATATATGTTGGGAACTCCTGTTTCAGTGTGGTGAATTGCTATACTTACCCAGAACGATTAACACCGATCAAGCTTACCTGCAAACTGCTGCGCTACTTGCTGATCTCCCCAGCATGCGCCTCAGAAGCAAAAACAATTCAAGACGGGTTTGAACCTATGCATGCCAATTCCGGGTATGGTCAGTGCGATCGATCCACGTGCATTTTTTTCGCTCCAGACTGTGCAATGTGCCCCAGAGGAAGGCTGGCTTGATGTTGTTTCTTCACACAGAAGTTGTTTGGCAGCTTTTGATGTGCTCGTTCCATCTCAAAGACATTTGAAACATTATGTAGCCTTGTGTTTGAGGGGAAACCGAAAGGAACTCACCGGGCCAATCTTTGAGGTCCGCCATTTCACATTATGAGACCAAACACATATACTGAAGAATACAGCCGGAGATAGCGACTTGAATCAGAATCAATTCAAAACCAATGCATGTTACTTGGATGCGACTTGAGCCCTGTGAGGAAACCAGCAAGGCATGACTTCCACATGTCTTTCCGAAGTACAACAGATGGGTTTTTCATTTCGACTAAACCAGCTGCCAGGCATTCGTACCGACGAGATGACCAAAGAACAGCGAGAAGAGTGGATGCAAGAGGAGAAGAACAGGCACCGCTGCTCATGCTGGTGAATGCCTATGATTCATGTTGGTATCGCGTGCATGCTGGCACAGCATGCTTTGACAACGTGTTAAAAGCGGCTAGTACAATGACTTGATATTTAAGTTATGTGAGGGACTCTGCAGCAACTTGCACTTCGCTGTCCGTGAGAATGCCTGTGTAGCGTGAGGCAGAAAATGAAGCTGGATGAGTACCTTACAGAGAAGGAACAAGATGGCCGGGAAGCACAGTCCATCCAAGGGAAGATGAGCAGATGCTGAAGCGTGTGTTGCCAAGGTCATTTTTGGGCAGCGGACTGGTAGTAGGTACAAACTACTTGCGATGGACCAACTAGGCACATCCAATCACGACACCCTGGTAAGTTGCAGTACATTACAGGGTGCTCCTTGTTTCAATATTTGCTAACTACGGTATCCGCCTACTGCAAACGTGCCGCAGGCTTGGTATGCTTTGGCCTTGTGCTCTGACTCCCATGCATGTTGTCTCACGGTGCGGCTTCTTAGTTATTTGTTTGTCTTTCGTTCGAAACCGTTCGCCATGAACATTACCTTTCTGAGGCCTCGGTGGCATCTTGCAGCTGGCACCTTGGCACAGGGACTGTCACTCATGAGGTTGCGGCGAGCGGTGGGAATTGAACCCATGGTCTGAAAGTGCCACACCTGGAGTTTTGTTTTTCTATCTTAGCCGAAGCAGCCCTTTCGCACTTGGCCGACTAGTAGGGCAACCCGCAAGTTGGCCTGCCTACCTTGCAGCTGCGGGCCAAGCAGATGCCTGCTAGATGTAAAACTGTTTAATAGTGGTTCTCAATCAGCAAGTCGACCCAAACGTGATGCTCGCCAGCGTCACGACGTGCAATGCTTCTCCAGGTGAATGCCCCCAAACGCGGAACATCCGAGATTGTTTGGGCAAGCGATCACCAGCTCACCTGGCGCAACGATCTCACCTGGCACTTTGCCAAGAGTTCGGCCAGGTCTAGGTGTAGCAAAACGGTGGCCAGGTGGTCACGGAAGTCTCGGGCATGAGCAACGCCAAGTGGGTGGTCACCCAGGCTCTGAGCCTCTCGCTCTACCATTTTCTGGTCACCGAGCCAGTGGCTTGGCGCAAACAACCGGCGAACTGGGCTGTGTCAGGTGAGTCGTGGCTCTGGTTTCAGTTTTGTCGTTCGGTTGCTATAGTATATTGGTTTACGGGCGAAGAGTGATGTTCACGTTAGATTGAGGAAAGTCATACTAGGGACGTCCGTCCCTCTTGAGCACATGTTCACAACACACGGGAGTTGTTGGGCAAACTTCCAGGCCGTGCGGGGGGGTTTTGGGGTGGAGACATCGAAACAAACTTCTGCTGTCGCAAGCCCAAGTCATTGAACATACTTACCTGGAGTACCATTCCCTCCAAGGCGTGTTTTTTGGCCACTACTTTCGCTCGTCTCAGGTGGAGACCAATGTATGTGCCCTTGGCAAGACGGGACGGCTCATGGTACTCCTCAGGAGGCCGCTGAACCCAAGCTCGGAGCCGGAGCCTCATGCGGAGGTGCAGTGGGATGGGCAAGTTTGCTAGTAAATGAAACCTGAACCCTTATGCCAGATGCAGTTTCCTGGATGTTATATGCAGCCCAGATTGGATTGCGGGTTGCCACTTTGATTGAGCTTCCCTTGGGCGATTAAAGGGATCCTGGAAGGAATTTGGCTTTGGGTTTTCGGTCGGGGGGCCAAGGGAATTCCCTGCCAATCCATCAAGTCTGACAGAAAGGGCCAGATCGCGTGTCCCAATGCTCTTGATATCCCATTTCCTCCAGCACCACATTCAGGACCCTGTAGCAGTGGGTTCTGGAAAACTTCCACGTGGAAATCTGAACGTCTTGTGCGATGAACCCGGAAGCGTCAGCTGCTTGGGATCCACCAAATTGACCGCTGGCAATACGGCAAAGCTTTCGGCAAATCGGACTTGGCCCAAAGCTAGGGCGCAAATGTTGGCCGAGCAATGCTACATTGTGGCTATGTGTATGATGCATACATGATACTCAAACACACATGTCCGAATGTGTTTACTTGTTCTTTGGCTGCAGGCGATTGGGCATGCCGTTCAATTTGAATGCGGCGTTGCCAGCTTGTTCATGGCTAGATCACACTGGAATTAGACTCATCTGTTTACTAGTCATTGTGGCCTGTTCAGTTGAAGTTTGTCCACCTCACAGCCTACAATCGGTTCGAACTCAAGAGCTGTCTAGCGCAAAGGTCAGCCAAGCTGCTGAAGGGCGTGGGCACGTTGATCATGCTTCTCTCTGCGGTGGCTTTGTGCCTTGGTTGGACGATGCTGAAGCATTGGCTAAAGCTTAGTGGGTACGTTTTGGGGGCCAAACAAGGACGGACAACCTTATGAAAACCCCTTATAAGACAACCTTAAAGCCTCAAACCAGTGAACTCCACCCCACCCCCCCAATTACACTACAAGGTTATTTTGAGCCTTGCAAAAGGTACTTTCGAGCCTTAAAACCCCAAGCGTCCTTATTTGCAAGGTAAAATTGTAGAACGAGAGAGAGAAAGACAACAGAAGAGTCACTTAGGATCTACTTCCGCACCATCGAGCGCATGCTCTACCTGGCCACCAACTATCCCACCCCCTCTGTGCGAGCGCGCCTGGCACCCATCAAGCCGCCGCCCGGGCCGCATTTTGCGGAGGTCTGCTTCTGCATGGGTCGCACAAATTGGGACCTTTGACACTTCGAAAGGACCTCCAAAAGGACTCTGCTTGACATGTTCAAGTTCAATTGCGGGTTCCGGAATCTCAAACTTGCCATTGTGGCTTGGGTGAGAAAGCTGAGGTAGACTTGGTATCTCAAGGGGGGCCTCCCAAAGTCTTGGGGGTTCCGATACAATTTCTCTTCAGCACACAGAAGGCACTCTGAATGAAAAGACCCCCCGTGCCTTCCCCACGTTCCTTTGCAAAAATGGGAGGGAGAGGTGCAGATGGCCACAGCAGGCAACCAATCTTTGGCGCCTTTCAAGCCAACAGTCGGAGGGCTACTGTCCTAAACACGGGGGTGCCCCCCCCAAGGGTAGAGAATTGGTGTGGCTTCTGTTTTCGTTTGTGTCTCGTTTTATCCAGGGGCATTTGCTGGAAAACTTGTGGTACTGTCTCTGAAGCTATCCTGAAATAGCTTGCGAAGCTTGTTTCCTCATTCAACGGTTCAAGTATTTGCGGCCTGCAGCTATGGGCGAAGCATTCAATCCTGAAAATATCATGTGCACTTTCAAATGTTCACGCTGTTGATGCTGATGGCTGTCCATATGTCCGATTGTAGAATTATTTGCCAAAGAAGCGCTACACCATACAGGGCCACCCATCCGTTGTCATCAATGTTGTTTCACATGATACTAAATGGCAGGCAGCAGACTATTCTTGAGCTGCTCAGGATCGCAGACCTGATCACGGGCAAGGTGCGGGAATGGTCGGTGGGCCTGGTTGGAGAGTCATGAGACGTTCTGAAAAGCAGCATCGAAACAACACCATTCAGGCAAGAGGAGCTGTAGCCTTGACCATTTGCTGTGAGTATCATGTACACGCAATGGAGGCTATGGACTATGGAGTGTTTCTCCATGGCAATCCCATGTTGACGGACACGTGTGTATGTTTGCAGGGTGTCATTGAGACTAACTTAACGTACCTGTCATTCTGCCACAAGAGCTTGTGCATTTCCTCACGTCGATTACGCAATTGCCGCATTCAATGAGCCCTCGGGCAGATACCGATGGAGTACTGCCAAGGTGCACCCCGGCAAAGCTGAATATGCAAGGTTGACTCTTTCTCTCCAAGTGTAAATCCAGAATTCCACCTCAAAACCAGAGCCGTGAAGGAGACTCTTGGGACATCGGATGACATCGGGATATCCCCAGAAACGTCATAGCTGCCCTTTAAGTTTTTCATAGATACAGGTTACTTGGACTCCCCGGACCTTGGCTCGGGTCTGGTTGCTTCATCAATTTTCCGAGCAACAACTCGTAGGTGTACCTGTACACCATCGCGGCCGCCGTGGCGATGTGGATCATGAACTTCATCTTCTTCAAGGCCACCATCAAGTCTTGGGGCCACAGCGACGCCAAGAACTACTACGAGTCGGAGAACGCCTGCCGCGGTCTCGGGATGTTTCAGGATGCCGCAAAACGCAATATGGAACTGTGGATGGGCGAAATCCGGCACCACTGGGAAGCTATGGAAAACTATTGTTGGCTGGTATTTACAGGGGAATCATCATTGCAGGGATTCTTAGGTGGTGCAGGATTTCGTCCATCCACATTAGGGAGAGTCCCCAAAAGCGGAGTTGTCCCTTTTGATGACCTTCAAACCAGCCCCAAAAAGGGTACCTCAACAAGTCACGCGCACGCACACGTCCATATTGAGTTAAGCCCACGCATCCCGCGCAATCGGAAATGCAACAGCGACGTGCCAATACAAGCTTCCAGCTTTAAGTGTAGCTGCTGTACCTGTGTAGCTATATTATATATATATATATATTAATATAGGTGCATGTTGGGAAGTATGTCGTTCTTAGCATTTGATTGCGTCAACGGATGGCAGAAGCTGCATTACCGCAGACTCAACGAATTTGTGTTCAGCATGCACATGTGTGCATGGCATAATATATATAAGTCTATATATATATAAGTTTATATATCTATACATACAGATGGAAGCACTATGCCATCCTTTGAGGACGTCACAACTCGCCCAACTTACAGTATCACGCTAGATTCTTGCCGTGTTTGTTCGACCATCTCCTCCCCATTATGTCTCGTGGTGATGTACTTGTTCGATCTTGTCTCAAGCCAAACACACTGTGCTCACAACACTGCGGCGGCATTGAATTGCTCTTTCCAATTCATCTACGTCTGCTGACTAGGGTTTCGGGCCAACTGCTTGTGACATGCTTAACCGCTGTTCAAGCAGGGCGGGCTTGGTTGTTCGAACACATGCAACCGACCCTAACCCAAGTTCTGGCCATAGGCCTGGGGCTGCCTTGTCCGAGGCTGTGCCCAGTACTTCCGCAGTGGAACCAAAGCGACGCCCTGGGCAAAGCCCCGGCGCGTGGGCGGCATGAGGACCGAGAGTATGAGGCTTTGGCTTGCCTTCACTCAAATGCGAACCAGAGGGTTTCTTGTACGTTTTTGCCAGACGGCTTGTGCACTTGCGCAGAGTTTCGTGTGGGCCAATGCTCCAAAGGTCTTCAGCCTTTGTACTGGTTCTGAGATGTCCAATGCCCCCTTGCCTTGTCGACGCTAATCCACATAAGATTCGCCTTTGTGCAGGATTTTCTTTGGCCCGTATCCTATGCCCCACATCTTCTGGGAGCTGGGCTGCTTGGAATGAGACAGGTGTAGGGTTTGTGGGGCAACTGGCTGACATCGCGGAACACAGACGGAAGCATTTGAGGCCACGTGCTGTCATGGCTGCTTTGCTTGGAGACTGCGCACTGCGAACGGACATTGCTAACAGCGCAGGAATCACAGCATCACTTTCTGTGTTCAGTTGCCTGTGCTCGCCGGAGGAAAAACAACCAAATATGTTCCGTCATTGCAGCGGTGCCATAGCGAGAAGTAAATTATTTTCCTTGGCTGTATGGAGCATTGTCGATCCACGCACAGTGCCTCAACTGATTCTGCCCCAGCAATTGTCAAGCGAGCTTGCAAGTTTCTTCCCACACAAGGGTGCATCCCTCATGGTTTCCCACTCACCAGGAGTGACTTTCAAAACAGAATCCTACACCAGTCAATTCGAGTTGTTCTTTGGTGCGTCCAAAGGTGCACTCCAGATCGCAGCTGTTGTGGGGGGAGGCTGAGGCTCCCCCTTCAAAGAGCCAAGAAATGTTGCTTTGCTTGGGCTTGAGTTGCTTTTCAACAAACACCCTTGTCAGTATTTGTTGTGCAGTTCAGAAATCAAAAGGTGTGCTGAGATGATGGCTTGGCGATGCGTTAAGCTCGTGCATTTCTTGGATGGTGTTTTTGGCTGCAGACCCTAAGCTGTTCCCATTCCCTTTGTTTGCGTTTGATAGTTGTGCTTAAGCTGCAGATTCAAAATCAGTACACGCTGTTGTGACTGTCACGGACAGTGATGGCTGGACAATTTATTTGGCATCGAACTCGTTTTTAGGTTGCAGTTGGTGGATGCTGACACATGTGCAAGACATGTGCGAGCCCACACCTGCCTATAGGACAAGCTTCCCAGAATTCGAACATACGATGGACCATGCTAAGTCTTCCTGTTATCGAGTCCGAAATAGTGTGCATCCCATTGCAAGGCTTGGAAAGGGTGTGCCCAAAATGAGACATCACCATGTTGCTCTCCTTTGGGTCGTTGCAAAACAGGTGTCCCTGAGTACAGGAGCCTCCCCACGCGATTTCCAGCCGAGAAGTGTATGGATGCCGCTTTTGGGGGGGAAGCCCCCTTGGGGTTGGTATTGAAAGGAAACCAACAAAAGCAAACCACGCATTCTGCGAGTGTTCTGATTTGAAATTCAAATCTATATATGAGGCAAAGACTGGCACTTCTTGCGGTGCTTGGAACCTCTGCCAAAGCTTCCGGCGGAGTACGACAACGGAGGCCCGGAAAAAGCGGGGAAACCAGGCCCCAGCTGTTCTAAGTGGAGGCCTACAAGTGGAAGTGGATGGTTGGGATTGGTGCGAAGCAAGGGACCTATTCCGTTCTTTTTAGAGGGTTCGGGGCCCACGAAAGGGGAGTTTTCCTTTGTGTGAGGTGACCTTTGAAGGGGACTGTTTGGTGAACGATGCCTGGCGTGTCAATCGCAACTGTCAAGCCCTTCTGATCACATCCCTGTCACGAGATGCGCCCAGTGCAGGCCGTGGAAGGCGGTTGCGCCAGTGATCTCGGAGCAAGATGATACAAGTCATGCCAATACTGTGGGTGGACGAAATCCTGCACCACTTGCAAACCATGGGAAACCCTTGTTTGTTGGTATTTACCACGGAATCATCATGCCAGGGATTCTTAGGTGGTGCAGGATTTGGTCCACCCGCAGTAGGTCAATCCGAGCACCAGCATTGACGTTGGAGCAGAAGTAGACGGAACACGCACCGTGACCACATTGTGAAGACAGATATGAATTGCGGAGAGTTGCCAAGCGAGGGCAAGACGATGGGAACATGATGGATCATGATTTAATGTAGCAATCTGTTCGAACCTGATATGTTTGGACATGGCTGACCAGCTCGAGGGCCTCATCCCGCGAAAACAACCCACTGAGCCCTTCGTAGGGCCTGGACCACAGATGCCTGCCCCGCGGGCTTAGGGAACGATCTCGAGCCCCGAATTGCCTCTTTTCCACATTTTCCGTGGGGGAGACTCACAAAAAAGAAACGGAACCCTTATTCTAACCTCTCCACTGGAGGACCCAGATGGCATCGGGTCGCATTGCCAGGCTATCCCAGCTCCGGCGGTAGCCCATCTGGACCCGAGGAGACCATGGGCTTCCTGCAGCTCTTGCTGGGTCTCATGAACACTTTCCTGGGCGCCTGGTCTCCAACCAAAACTCTGACGGGTCCCGTGTTCGAAGTGAGCCTTGTTCCATGCATCCCAAGAAGTATCGATTTCTTGGCTCAACTTGCCTGGAGACAGCTATTATGGTTGTACTTTGATGTATATATATATATAATTTATGTATATATATATATATATATATAATCTATGTTTGTATACATCATACATACATTTGGGCCACACAGCCGATGCTCTGCTTAGGCACGCTGGGCCTTTTCTTCTTCGGTGTGAACCTCTACAACTTGCAGCTCCGGTTTGATTGAGCTGGGGGCTTTGTTTGGAGCTCCCTTTTGGTTGGCTTGCAAGGCAAGCCAAGGGAAACAAAATTCTCTTTGGAGACACCCATGTGTTTCGGACTAGTCAACGCAGATGCTGCGACTTAACATAGCAGTACTGGGTGTTCATCAAGTCTTGTTGTTAAACTGACACGTGCGACACACCAGAAAGCTTCTGTACATACAAGTGGCAATACGAGGACGGACGATTGCATAGAAAGGTTCGGAGACATTCGGAGGGAGCAAATCGGACGGATGTTGGTGACTTTGTTCTGACTTGCTGCGCCCAGTACCCTCTTTCCAACAATCAAAAAGAAGTGGACAGGAGGCCTCAAGAGGAGTGTCTTCCAAAGCCCTCCTAGAAGACCCCCGTGATTGTTGGAAAAGGCAAGACAAGAAAAACCCTTCAAGCCGGGTTGGGCACTTCCTGCTTTCTTTGTTTGTGTGTGGGGTTGTCAAAATTGGGATCTGGACCCATTAAATGTCTTGTGGTTTCCTTTGAGCAAGGGTTTTGTAGGTCACCAACTCCAAACACCGCGCCACTGCATCACATTTCTCCAGCGAAGCGGCCAGGCTCATGAACATCCAGAACTGCCCCACGGGGGTTGTCCTGGCGCCCTGCATCACCCAGGGCGCCTGTGCCGGAGCCGGGGAGCCAAGGGGACGTGAGAAATTCGTTAGATGGCTGTGGTTGTCAAAAGCGTTTTGGGATCCCATCTTGGTTGGTAGGTGAATTCACCACCCATTTTAGAACCTATTTTAGTGGTTGGATTGGGATGTTCACTGGGGGCTAACCGATTTGGCTTTTGACCCATGATGGGAAAGCCAACAGGTAGGGGCTAAATACGTGCCATCCCAGCCAGGTGAAAACAGATACCATCGAATAGATTTTGTCCTGGACTTCGCAGGGGCCGATATTTATGTTACCAGGTGTTCGCACATATTTAGTAAAGCACTCGAGGGTGCTACATGCAATGGTATTGGACCGAGCACTTCAAGCTTTTGTGCACTTGCTAAGATTTGTGACCAGAAACACCTGCCTTGCAGTTTTCAGGAGTAGCTTGCATCATAGCAGCATCAAACACATCCAGGCAAGCAGACGCGTGTTTAGAGCCTATCAGCTTGACTGCTGGTCGACTTGTCAATATGTTCCTGTCCACTCCAATTTCCTGTTTGACTCGTTTGGTCTGTGGTTCTAGGGTCCGCATAGACCAGGAAGACAGCCACCAGTCAACACAGGAACAGGTTCGGGCGGGCCAGACTCGCCTTTTCCAACCCAGGGCGCCTTCCGCAGGTTGTGCGTACTCCCTGGTTCGCGCACTACATCGTGTCCAACAAGCTGCTGGGCGCGAAGCAACGTGTTGGTGCACCAAGGGTTCTGCAATCTCTCAAGGAAGACGAGGTTGTGATTCAGCAGCGTTGCCGGTGGTTATTGGGACACCGCTGCCACCGTGGTTTAATGTGAACACGTGAAGTTCTGAATTCAAAATACCACTTCCGTTCGTGAACATGATAAAACTGTGGCACAACATGTTGTGAGAGAGACGTGATTCCAGCACATCAAGCCTCAGGATTTGTGTGCAGTGAGGCTGTAAGTCACAACATGGGTCTTGTGCTTTGAGCTGAGAATCTGGTGGTTGTTTTCCATTCAATTCACTGGATGTCTCGCTCCCACCGTGACGCTTGCACGCTAGCAAAGAGGGAAGCAACAAGTGGTGCGAGTGGCTTACACTGCTTGGTGGAACATGCAGCATGCGAGTCCTGAAACAATAGGTATTGCAGAGACAATGCATTGGAAGTTGAGGAAACCTAGAGGAACATGGCCCATTTCTGTTTTTGTTGTTGTCAGTTTCTTTTGTGGCAGCAACCTTGAAAGTCAACTCACGTTGGGTCCCCATTGCTTACATGAAAGTCACGGCAACTCGTATTGCTTGTTGCCAGCGGGGTACGCGACAGTCCGCTTCAGTGTTCATAAAAATCCACAGGTTATGCTTGATTTTGAGGGTTCCCGCCCAATGATCTGGAAAGCCTGGGTTGAAGCAATCCTTCATGCTTATGCCAGATGGTAGTGGTGTTCCTCGAGGGATTGCGGCAGAACCATTGGACCCCCCTCATTGTGCACACCCCAAGCCAAGCCCTCGCAGTGCCAGAGAGGCTGATGGTGGCGGAAGACCTTGCCAGAGAGGCGGTCAAGGCGGATGTGCCCATCAAGGAACCCGAGAGCTCCAGTCGTTAGGGATGACTCTTACAGGCATGTGTATATGTATATAATATACATGTGCTGCGAGACACATCAAGCATCTTGAACCATGGGGTATGGAGCAGCGTGCAGTGGCATGGAGGCTTCAGCTATGATACACGGGTACCAGTGGTTCGCAATTCGCAGACACCACGATGATGGACTGCCCGAAGCCACGAGGCTGCCCCAGGTTCAGAGCCACAAGGCCTAGAAAATTGAAGACAACAGACAATGCTTGAGAGCTGTTGGCACCAGGAGGTTGCCAAATGGATAGGCTGCTTGATCGCACCGAGTACACGCTTGTGTGATGCGCTTGCTTGATGCAGTTTGGGCGTGTCTTTTGTGACGGTTTGGAGGTGCGCTGGCAGGGAAACAACCGGGAGAGTTACCCACCGCTGTTTGGGCCCCCAATTCAAGAGGCGCACTTGGAGAAATGTGGGCCTAAGGCGTGGAGACAGTGGGCCAGGCCAAAAAGATCATCATGGAGGTGGCGCAGGATTCCTGCCAAGCTATGTGCCTGGGCTGAACTAGTCACTGCATTCCCCACTCAAGACTCTGGTTGGGTAGCTTTCCCAGCGGCCAGCGAGTTTCCTATCGCGCCGGTTGCAATTGACAAGCACCGCATTGTCAAGTTTACCCATATTCCCACGTCTTCATCGGCATTCTGGGCGCAAAGGTACTCTTTAAGTCTAACTCCCCATCGTTTCGGCGCTGAGCTGGGGTTGCACTGCTTGAGATGACTTTCCTCAAGCCAACAGAGGCAACGCTTCTATGTTTGTTTGCAAAGATAAGCCAATGCTTTCCTTGTATCTGCCTAGGGAAGATGCACTTCACCATAGGCATCATTTTGAACAAGCAACTTCCAGTGGGTCAAGCACTCCGGAGCAGACGCTAATGTTTGCGTACAGGATACAGTTCTGGGATCTCTTTTAGCATTGTCTTAGTCTTAAGGTTCACTAAACATGGACCTAGTTGCAAAAGCTGATTTCAGGTTTGGTAGCGCTGATCGGTGCTCGTAACCGTGTTGAGCAGAGCAAAAGCAAACAGGACACAACAAAAACACAGGCGGGTTTTATTTGTCGAACGGATGGTTTTGCTTTCCCTGGGTCCCCCTTTAGAACAGCACCAACTCACGGCCCTCAAAGGACACCGGGCCGCCGAAAGCGGGCGGCTTGCGCGTTCCATGTGCATGGCTTCCAGGTACGAGGGGCTGATCATTGGGCCCAATGCGCCTCGGCGGCCCTCGGGGGCCCGGGAATTCTTGGAACAGTGGGTGGACCAAATCCATTTCGCACCACCTAAGAATCCCTGGCATGATGATTCCCTTGTAAATGCCAACCAACAATGGTTTCCCATGGATCCAAAGTGATGCAGGATTTCGTCCATCCACAGTATCAAGGGGCCAAGGGGGTTCAAACACCCGCCCGCAAGCCCATCAACTCTCCAAATCTCAGGTGCCTTGGCTTGCAGAAAAAAAAAACACTTGAAGGCTGATAGCTGTCCAATGGTGTGTCTCTGTATGTGTGTGTGTGTGTGTGTCTGTGTGTGTGCGCGTTTGTTTTTGTGTTTTTTGTTGTTGTTTTGTTGCATTGTTTGAAAGGGAACCACGCGCACACCGCCATGTTTTGGTACGTGTATGGAAAGCGGCCACATTGGCGGAGACAGTTGGGTCGGGCCGAGGGAAGGCTGAGACCAGGCAGGGGCAACAGTGACATGGCCCCTGACTGAGCCACTTAGGCCCACGGCAAGCTTTGGGTTCGTCTCCAAATGATGGAACTCCGAAATGTGCTGTTTCCCTTCAGACCTTGAAACAGCCCCTCTTATCTTCCAACATGGAACGCGACTGGAGTTCCCTGGCATACATTTTTTTTTTTTTTTTTAACCTTTTGGCCCGGAGGGTTCAGTGCTGGATGGAGCACCCCGCAAAAAAGGGGAACCCAAATAGCTTCCGAGGACACGATGAATGGCATGCATGCGGACTGGCTGGGCAAGCAGCATGCAACCTACTACCTGGAGCAGGCGCCGTGGGAGAAGATCAAACAGTTCTCAAAGTAACTAGGGCAGTGTTCCTTGTTGGTCTCCGTTTCATGCAAGGGAAAGCACCCTGTTGTTGTTAGTCCTTTTGAAGGCCGGTGTTTCAAAGTTAGGGCGCGTCTGTTTCTGTGTGGAGTCAGTATCGTTTTGGGATGTTTTCACAGAGAAATGCAAGGCAGATCCCCCCGCATTTTGGGATTCTATGCTCCGGAGCATACAATTTGAAAATCAAGTCGTGACTGCTGCAGTGAGGTGCGGCAACACGTGGGAATGCACAGTCAACATGTGCGCTACCTCAAACCAACCCAAAAAGTACTGCCAGTTGAATCACAGATCCGAGAGGATCAAGCCATTCAAAATCATTGGCTAGCCTTCACGAGCTTTCGGAGCCAGTGTCTCAGAGAGTGTCACTGCCTACAAGTTGTTCCGACGATGTGTGTGTGGCTGGAGCGCTGTTGGCTTCCGCTGCAGCTCACCCAGTGCTTGTTTGCCTCGCACGCCAGATCAAGAACAAGAATCTGAACATCACGTGGCAGGCTTGGGGAGGGTTGAGTGTGGTTGAAGCTGCTGCACTGTTCGGCGACCCTGGAGAGAGTCAACTGCTCAGTGCCCTTGTCAAAGTTGCGATGCTACTTGCTCCACCTACCGAGCTGCCACAAGACCACACTGGATGGAATGAGCAGAATGCACTTTATTCGCTTTCACATTGCTCAAGCATGCGACGTCGTGAACCTGGCATTGAAACTGCCAGTTGCCATTATTGTTCCTCAATAGCTCGTTACGTCTTCATCTTCCGCTTGTTTCTCAGCTGCAGTCACGGCTCCCTGAAAAGATCTTAATAATGGAGCGCCCCCTGTGCCAATGAAAGGCCTCGAAGGCATACCAATGTGGCCCACTGGTGTTTTCAGCTTTGTCTTCGCGATGTCCCCTCCCTTGGTGCCTCCTTCGCTGAGAGACACTGCATGATTTGTTCCGGCGCCTTAGTTACCACAGGGCATCCTGCTTGTGTCTCGCTTTTGGTGGCCCACATCACCTTTGGGGGGAAGGAAAAAAAGGCAACCATTCAAACTCGGTTTCCTCTCAGCGAGGTGATGTTGGCCCGTAGCAGACTCGCAGGCAAAAATGTACAGTTGCCACGGCTGCGTCCGCTGCATGACACTCTTCTACTTCACCGACGTCCAGCTGCTGGGCTGCCTTTGGATCAGGCGAACGCCTGACCTGAGCACGGGGGATTCTTTCTATATAGGGGCTCCCCGAACAACCACGGGCCACGGGTGTTTCCACTTAGTTTCTCTTTAAGCAAACCCAAAACAGGCTTCCCTTACACAACAGTCACACACACACACGCATACTCTGGCGCTGTCTGAGGAATGTGGTGGAGCTAATTGAGATCTTCCTGCTCATTGCACCTCGCCCGGCGAGCAGCGAAGGTCAACACTGCCTGTTTCTGGACCTTGTAGTAGGGGCAATGAACTCAACCAAGGCACACGTTCGGAGGAGGACCCTGGGTGGGGACTAGCCAATTCCTCTCATTTTCCGAAAACGAGCTACCCAAATGAGCCACCGGTACTCATAGGACCTCCTGCATGCCTATTATTGTTGCTTGCTGCTCCTTTGGCGATGCGCGTGCTTTCTTTCTGACAACACACCCGGATTCCGTTCCACCTCGCTGGGTGGAGTGAGGGGTTTTGTTGAGCAAACCTGGGTCGCTTAAACACTTGAGGTGGACATTGGAGGGGTTCTCAAATTTGTTCTGGGGGTGGTTTCCTCTAAGCCAGGAAGCGGTCTTAAGGGTAAGTTTGAGCATTTCAACAAAATAGGCCGGCCAAATGCTTCAGCCAGCGCGCTGCGGCTCGGTTTTCCCAACAAGCACTCAGTTGCGTGTCCCCTGGCTGGTACAACCTGACAGGGGCAACACTCCCCGGAAACTGGAACTGCGCCAGGGGTCGCTGGAATATAGACACCGAGATTCGGACATTCATTTGGGATGCCCGGGTTTTGCAAACATTGGATTTTGAACATCTCAGATTTCAACGTTTCCCAATGCCTTCCCGTTTTTTCGAATGTAGGGAACCCTGGAACCTCTGCAACCTCTGCGATTCGTTGCGGCTCTCTCGAAACCTCGCCGAGATCGCGAGCTATTTCAGCGCCTTGCTGGCGTCCATGATGGGGAACGTCTTGGAAAACTGCCCCATGATCGACGTCCACTTCGAGGCAAGCGGTCTCGTTTTGGTTTTGGAGTGGCGGTGGAAACCCCCGGTGTCCCCCTTTGTTGGTGTTTCCCTCTTTGTTGGTGTCCCCTTTGGATGTGGGTGTGGTTGCCTTGTTTGGAGGAGTGCACGTTTGGTCGGCCGCGGGTTCCTGCATATGTTCCTGTTTGCTGGCGACCGAGGCGGTTTTGCAGATAACTGCTGCGGATTTGCTATAATTGATTCAGCATGACACAGCAGGGTGAGTGAGCAGGGAGACACTCGAGCACAGGAAGCATTCAACATGGCTTCATATGTCTCGTTGCGAAAGCAAACATGTTGTGCACATAGACACCACAAGTGTTGCCGTTGAAGGCACGGTCATGTTGAAAGGACACAGCTGGCATTCAATTCAACTTGGCACCGGTTTCGGTGCGCGAGATAGTTGAAGAAAGATGATGATCAAGATCACTTTGGGAGCACGTTTGGTTGAGTGTTTACTAAAAACCGATATTGAAGACACAAAAACCCAGCATATCTTTTGGCACCTCCAGCTTCCTTTTGGATCTTAGCGATGCTTTTGCAGCCCTTGCCAGGCAGATCCAACTCAGAAGCAGTCCGTGGACTTGCACTACACGGAGAAAAGCTGCCTGAGTATGCGGCTCGCTCTGATTTCGGATTTCGCGGAGGGGGCTCGGGGCGCAAGGAGCAGTGAGATGGCCATGGTTCAAAACCAATTGTACCATTTTGGGATAGGTGCACCACCCATTTTAGTCTATTTTAGTGGGGATTGGGATGTTCACTGGGGGTACCGGGTTTTGACCCAGGGCCAGATGGCCAGGCAAGGTGCAGGCGAGCGGAGAGAAGTCGGGGGCACGCAAGGTGCGAAGCCTTGCGCATGGCCAGTACCTCCCGAAGTCGGAGGCATGTGTTTTGATCAAACCGGTTTATGGAAGTTCCTCAGTCTGGGTTTTGTCTCGCGGCCTATCAGTAACCAATGTTTTGCGCCAGTGCAGTTGTACACAGACGTCTAATGAGCATTCTACATGGCAGACCATGCAACAGCTTCATTCATCTCGTTTAGGCAGCTCCACAATAGCCTGTTGGCTTCGTTTCAGTGCATCAAACATGTGCTTGAAGCACTAAGAAGAGGCAGTTGCGCTCAGGATTGGCCGGACCTTCTTTTTCCGCTACCACTACTGTGGGGTGCCCAAGCACATGGAGTACCAGGAGGAGGCTCCGCTTGTTGCGCCAAGACCAATGAGCCGTTGGCCACGGTGGAAAACTAGCCAATGGGGGGGTTCATGACTTGCCTTTCTATGCTTATGGGTTAGAGGATGAGCACGTCTTGACCGAATTGCGCGCGGAAACAGATCATTAGTCCCGGGCATGAACGGCTCCTTTAGCAGGTCTGTGGGCCGCCAAGAGTGGTTGACCTTTTTTTCTGTGTCACCTTTCACACTCCCTTTGCGGGAATTTTGATATCCTTGCCTGTATTGCTCCAGCCGAGACCTCCAGTGGTGCCCTATCCATTTTTCTGGAGGAGGTTTCAACTACCAACACAACCGCCAACAAATATAACAACAGAGCACGCCCGCCAAACAAGGGCGCCCTTTCTCCCCAAACCATCGGAGGTTTGATGTTTCCTTGGAAATCCTGCCAGGGCATGCGGAAGCAGGTCCAAAAAGGCTTGCGGGACACGAAGAAGCTGACGGATCCTTTCCAGCCGCAGCCTCAGGAAAACAACCAAGCGGGTTGTCTCTAAGTAGGGGAACTCCAAAACTAGAGGAGTGTCTGAAAAGCAACCCTGCATGCCCAAATCTGTGCGTCCCAGGGGACCCCAAGATGAGTTTGTTTTTGGCTGGTGTCATTCCAAGCTACAGAGGTTCAACAAAAAGACTGGCCTCTACCCAGGGCGTCCCCTGATGCTCATCTCACTTTCCCTGGTTCCAGGCACCCTCTTGAGTCCTGCTGGCGATGTGTTGGCCAAAGTGGGGTGGGGGGAGGTCGCCAAAGGTTCGATTGCTCAAGCGCGGCATGTCCAGCTGGGCCACAATCAAAACCCGGGTAGATGAAGGTTAGTAAGGGGCAGTCCCAGCCGGAAATAGTTGCGGCCGCCTTTCTAATTCTTTACATGGCTTTGGGTTCACCATTTTTGTACCAGGTTTTGATTGTGACTCAGCTGAGTGTTGGGAGTCACGAAAGCCAAACCCAGGAGCTGATGCATCAGCTCTTATTGCTATGCAGGTCAGAATGTAATGATACACCCATGTTTCAGCCTGTTTTGCTCCCTCGAGGGTCTTTCCTGCTCTTTCTATTCCTGCTGTAAGCTTGCAGGGTCAGGCACGGCCCACCGACTGAAACTGAGTCGCATGGGATGTCACGCCAGCAATGTATGAAGTCTATTTGGGGATGCTATTGCGCGATCTGCCCTGTGTTTGGTGGTTGCTCTTTTGGACTCAACACAAGCATCCGCCTGCAAACAAAGAGTTGCGGCAAACCTAGCCGCATCTAGATTGGCATTGTCAAGGGTGAATGAACGATCAAGTTATCCAGGGTTCAAATGAGACATAATCAAGTTCTGGGTATGTCTGGGCAGCAGATTTGTGGAAAGTAGTCTCAAGCATGCCCCGCCCTTTGTGCATTCCTGCAAGCAGACCCCCAAATTACATGAAATGGCCACATATTTTTTTTAGCCTTGCGGAAGGGTTCATTTCCGACTATGTATGTCATATCTCTATGACAAGGGGGGCGCACAAATTGTGGTATTAAACCAATCCCAAGCAGGGTACATTACCAACTCGAAAACGATGCCTAAGGGGGGGCTTGTCCTCAAAACAGGGGACCCCTCCCAAACCTGTAGATGGTTTTGTTTTTTGTTTTTTTCCTCTAGACCAATCCAAAAACAGGACACCTGGAGTCTCCATGACCCTTCACAAATGGGTCAATGACCCCATTTTGGGGTCATTGACCCATTTTTGGCGCTCCAGGCACCCTCCAAAGATACGCCGCCCCCGTTTCGGTGCCCTCGGACGGGCCATGGACTGAGGGAGGTGGACAAGGCCGCCACCTGGGATTTCTACAACCTCTTCGACGCCACCGCGGCGCCTGGCCGTTCGATCGATCGCTTTAAAGCTTTGGGTCCCATGTGTTGGTGTGGAAAGGAACCCGAAAGGAGAACTTTTAGGCCATTTTGGGGTGCAAGCTAAAAAAGACGACTTTTAGTCATGGGGGGTGGGGGGGAGGGAGCGGGGAGGGAGCCCCAATAAGCCCTAAATACGGCTTTAGGGGCTTAAAAAGGGCTTATTTGGGCTCCCTCCCCCCCAGCCCCCATGATTTAGGCCATTTTGGGGGTCCAGGCTAAAAAAGACCGGCCACCCATATAAAATATAGGCACTAGAGCTAGGTCGCCCCAGCAATTGGTGCCAACTTTTACCGTTTCTTTTTTGGTTGGGAGGGTTCGGTACCCTACTAAAATAGACTACAGAAAAAAAGGTACCCTAATTGACCTGGTATTGGAAAACCACTGGATGGAAGTTGCTCTGTTGCCCAGTGCGTTCCGCCTTTTGTCCGACTTTGTTTGGGGAAGGGTTCCCCTTGAAACTCAACCAACCAAAAATGGAAGCCCTTTTTTTCCCATGGCCACTGGGCATCTGAGGTTGGGAAAGTGGGAATGGGCATCCTCGGAAGGGCGCAAATCGCACATCCCCCCCAATTTGCTTGGTGTGGAATGCTCTGGTTGTTCAGGACGCTTCACATCAATTACTTAGTTTGTTCACTTGAAAGCCAGGCAGAGTTCAATGATCACGACCGTTTTCACACTTTGCTGGTCCGTTTATTTTCCCAACCGGGGAGTCTACCAAGCAAGCCCAGTTGGGTTTTATTTTATCGAGGTCCGCAGGTGAAATGTCAGGCTAGTATGGTTGATAGTGGTTGTCCTTCATCCTTCCATTAGTGAGTTGTGCGTGGCTCTTGTTGCTAAAAAAGAGCACTGCCGTGAATCTGAGAGTGGAATTTCATACCCCCTGTTCATGCCTTGGCCCGCGACTTTCCCGTCCGCGGTATATAAAATATACCCCTTTGGGGGAAATCTAAGCAGCAAGCCTTTTGCCAGTTCACTCCCACCCCCAGCATGGGACCTGACGGGTTCCTGGCAGATTCTGGTTAGAAGCCAAGAGATCCATTGATTTTCCTTCCCCAAGTGCTGAGAGTGTCCCAAAAATCCTTGTTCGCTGAGAACCAGCGGTACCCACCCAAAAGAAATCGGCCGATATCGGCCCTCTGTGCGGCATGCTCAGACGCGGCGCTTCAACGTGCACCGGGAGCTCTTGGGACTTTTGGAGGGCGAGGAGGTGGTGAACGCTTGGACGGTGCCGCCCCGACTCACCCGCAGCTGAGCGAAGTTGCGCGAAAAGTCTCGCGCGCGCGTGTTGCAACAATTCTCTGGTCGCTGGAGGTCTGGGAATTAGCGACCTCACACAGGAGTGGGGATTCGTGGCCTCGCACGTGATGAAGGTTTTTTTTAGGATTCCTTTTTTTAGGTGTGTCAGTACTAGTCATATTTTGACAGAGGCGGTTCTGCATAAACACCTGTTTTCACATTTTGGGTCCAAACGGGCTTAAAACCCCGGACAACCCCCCGGACAAACCCCCGGACAACCCTCCGGACAGCTTTGAGGGCCCAAAATCGGCGGGACAACTCCCCGGACAAACCCCCGGACAACCCTCCGGACAGCTTTGAGGGCCCAATAGCCCGGGACAAGCCCCCGGACAAACCCCGGGACAACCCTCCGGACAGCTTTGAGGGCCCAAAAGCCCGGGACAAACCCCCGGACAAACCCCCGGACAACCCTCCGCACAGGTTTGAGGGCCCAAGAACCCGGGACAAACCCCCGGACAAATCTTCGCGGACAACCCTCCGGACAACCCTCCGGACAACCCCCCGGACAACTTGCCGGACAGTTTGTCCAGCAGTTTGTCCCGCACTTTGTCCGGCACTTTGTCCCGCACTTTGTCCCGCACTCTGTCCCGCATATCGAGGGGGGTGTTTATGCAGAAGGGCATTCGTCAAGTCATATTGATACGCTCACTGGTCCAAAGCTCACATTTTGGCTTTCGTTTTCCAGGTTTCTCGTTTAGATATGGGTTCAGCCTATAAGATGTGTTGGCGACGCCAGCTGCTCGGAAGTCGTTGCTAAGGCAACCAGAAGATCATCATTGCACTAGGCGTGTTCTTCTTCATCGTGGGTCCCATCCTCTCAGCCCTGCGAAAGAACAAGCCCTCCTGCGCTGCAGAGGCTATTCTTGGCACAGTGCGCCTTGGAGCATGTCAGATGCACTTCTGAGTTGCTGAGTTCATGAACTCTAAGCTTTTGGGGAAGACCGCGTTTTAGTGGCAAGACCCAACTTTGGACTGGTTTTGGCCAACAATAAGTTCAACAGGAAGTGAGTCTTTGCGACTTGGATGAGCTCTGTAGGCCCTCATTCCTGGTCTGTTTCCTGGCCCACTTCCATCAGCCTTCCTAGAAAACCTAAGCCCATGGTGTCGAGTTGAAGGTATGTTGACAGCTGCTCGGAATGAGTGGGCGCTCAAGGTGTTGATTTGGCAGTGCTTGCCAAGGTTGTGCTGGAAATATGACGCTTGGCTGCAAATGGTAGCAGACCCCACTTGAAGAGGCGTGTGTGCATCCTTTGTCCTGGGGGCTGTGCGGGGGCTTTGTTTTGGCTGGTTGTGACCCGCTTTGGGGTTGTTCCAAAGAAGCCTCTGAGTCGGCCAGGACGGGGCTCCTCAAACCTTACTGAGTCAAACAGCAGATATTGTATGTGTCATTGGAGTTAAACATTGGAATCAAATTTCTTTTGACCAACATCTTCCTTCGCTGCACCGCTTGGGATTTGAAGATCAGGTCCGGTTGTGCCTAGAACACTAGGCCCCTTCCTTTGCCAACCTGTGGGGGACTAGGAGGTCCTGAGATCCGCTTACAGATCAGCTCCTTTTGGGATTCAGTTTCCGGGGCCTTTGGGGGGTTGTTGGACCTCGTCTTAGGTTTCCAGGGGGTTTTTAGCAGGTGGAGTTCTTCGTGCTGAAGCGGCGCCCCCAAGCGGGGATCGTCCTCACCACGCGCCGCATCTTCCAGGTTACCAAAACTCCCCGCTTCTGGGGGCTCATGGGGTGCGCCCCATGCGATGGATCGGATCCCATGTTGGGATTGGTGAATTCACCACCCATTTTAGAACCCACTTGAGTAAAACTTGGGATGTTCACTGGCGGTACGCTTTGGATTTTGACCCATGGTCAATAGATATTGACGTGGTGCACGTCGTTTCCGCTTTAAGCGGCCAATGGGCACCCTCAAAGCACATCCGCACATGTATGTACATGCGTGCGTCCGTACGCACGCATACACAGGCACCCAGGCACCCACATGCACACCCACCCACCCGCCCACCCACCCATCCACCGCACGCACGCACGAACGCACGTTCGCAGGCACGCATGCACGCACGCACCTACACACACACACACACACACGCGCACGCGCACACACACACACATGCACACACACAAACACAGACAGGCACACGGACACACAGACACACACACACAGACACAGACACAGACACAGACACAGACACAGACACAGACACAGACACAGACACAGACACAGACACAGACACACACACACACACCCACACCCACACCCACACCCACACCCACACCCACACACACACACACCCACACCCACACCCACACCCACACCCGCACACACACACACACATGCGCGCACACACACACACACATCGGTTTTGCCGATTTCACAGCACAATGCGTTCCTGCGAAGAGGGAGCATGTTCTTTGTATTTTTTGTTTGTTTGGTTGTTTGTCTCCATGAAGCAGGTACACAGAGCCTCTCATCAAGCTGGATGTCCTGATCCACAATTGCGGGATTTTCTATGCACAGCTGCAGATGGAGTCAGCGGCTGCCAAGCTGTCTTTGGTTGGACCGAGTGAGAGAAAGGGTTCACGAAGCTAATGTGCGAATGCTTGCAAAATGTGTTTTTGCCACGACTGTGCTGATGTGTCGATGATGATGATGATGATGATGATGATCATCATCATGATGATGATGATGATGATGATCATGATGATGATGATCATGATGATCATGATGGTCATGATGGTCATGATGATCATGATGATCATGACATCATAGTGATAATGATAATGACAATGATAATGAGGAGGAGGAGGAGGATCAGGAGGAGGAGGATGACTTGCATTTTCGGATATCAATCATTAAGTACCAGGCGTGCTATTAATGGCGTTGGTTTTTCCAGGAAAGTTGGTGAAGTTGGTGATGTGCAGCCAAGGTGCCACTGTCGCGCGCCTTGGTCGCAAGATAAATTTTGACAATTCACCATCACTGCAGTGAAGCTAGCTGCATTGGCCAGGCTCACCAAGTCACCATATGGAACGAGGGAATGTGTAAATAGCTCACCACAATCCAATGCCATTAGGACGAAACATGTATGGCTTCTCAGGGGGGGCTTGCCTCTTGGGGTTTCTGACACGGTAAAAGCTGGGGAGTATGAGAGTTTATCATTTATCAATTCGATATTTAAGGTTCGCGGTGACTCATCTTTCTTGTTACATTTGGCGAGCAGTTTCACCCTTGGTGCTCAACAGGATGCGACATGGTCCATGCTCCTTTCGAGTCGCTGTGTAATTTTGATCAGCTGATCCCCTGAGGGAAACCAATAGAAAGTCTTTTAAACGGATTGGTCCAACACTGCTTCCAAACAAGGCAAAATCTTGGCCAAGATCTTCAAGCTTCCCGTAAGCCGACGTGGTCAACTGCTCGCGCAAGGGCCTATGGGCATCTTCAAGCGCTTGGGCTGAGATGGATTTGCAGCATGAATCAACAAGGCATTTAAATTTGTTTGTTTTGTTGCACCGTAATATGTACAATTATACACATGCATAGTATAAATATAATTATATATATACACATGATATTACGCCTTGGCTGCTTGAACGAAATCAATCCACGCAAGATTGCGCGTGGTATGGGTGAGCCATACGGCGATTGTCTCTGCACACGCGGCTTGTAAGCCGTATTGTCCAGCTGGTTGTCAAAATCAATGGGATTCATTTTGGGGTAGGTGAATTCACCACTTTTGGGTTTTTGTTAGTTGGGATTGGGATGTTCACTGGGGGTACGGGATTTTGACCCATGGCCATGTGTCCGGGATAAAATGCTTTGACCTGGCGTTTATCAGAGGAGAGATTGATTGTAAACAGATGCTATAGTCAAGAATAGCACGTTACTCGGTGACAATGCATTGCATGACTTCATGCTTTCAGTAGATGCTCTGGATCGATCCCTGACTTAGGCTGCCAGACGTCACTGATTCAAACAAGGTGCATGTGCGTGGTGGGAGATCTAAAATATTCCGGCCTGCCATTGCCATTGCGAATATCCACGAACTGGATTTAGCTTTTGGCTCTCTTTGCAGACAAAAATGGCCCCTTCGCAAAGGTCGTCTAGACTTCTACTTGGATGTGCAACCCACTGAACAAAAGTAGGTTGCAGCCGCGGTCTTAAGCAAAGCAACCCCTGTTGTTCCGCATAATTATAAGCCCGGTTAGAACCTACTGACCAAGTAGGCCCAAGTAGGTCGAGTCCTTTCTTTCTCCAAAGATGGGGTCTGAGGATGTGGCGCGAGCGGGGCGACACCTACAACCTCATAAACTACATCTCCCAGGCCCGCCTTCATTTTGTGTGTGCCAAATCCAATGCGTACAACATATAGATGTATATTGTTGTTATTGTCATAAACAGTCAGTATTGATGATAGCTAGTATTGCTCCACCGCACTTGCCACGTTGGTACAGTATGATGCGACCGCTTGAGCACTTGAGTGCAAGCGATGTGCATGTCTTTCGACAGGACAATTTCCTCAATTGTGCACGTGCGCCATGCATTGCTACTGTCACCACCGCACAGGCGCAATTGTACCGAAGGCCGTTTCTCTTGACATGCGTGTCTCTGCATTGTGGCGATGGCTGCCAGCAGAAAGACGCCGCGTGACCCACGTCACTGGTATGTGCCATAATGGTGTAGGACTTCGTAACAAGTGGCCTGAGGAATCAGCGATTTGAGTTCTGTGTGCAATCGCGGGATTTTATGGTTTTATGGTCGCACAGCAAGCACATTAGAAACTACGCAGGCAATGCAGGTGTGTGTGTGTGGTTTGTTTTCCTGGCTTGCTGGCTGGCTGTTGCTTGCGTGCTCAATCTTGCTCGTTTGACAGTTCTGTTTGCGCATGCAGCCAGCAGGTTATCCTTCTCGAGCAGGCCTATTTACGCTGACTATCTTTGTGTTTGCCGGCACAAAAGGGGTCCCCAGGCTTGCAAAGGCCCCAGAGACATACTGCACAGTTCTTCTGGCGCGTCTGAGTTTGTGTGTTGGCCAAGGCTTATATTTTTCCGTGAGTGCACATGATAAGCTTTGCGTGTGTGCTGTGCTGCTATTCATATCTAGCGAGGCATCGGAGATTTACTTAACAGGGAGAGATGTCTGGTGGCATCGAAGTGTTAGCTCAGCCCTGGGATTCAGACCGTCTGCAAGCTGTCAAGAGTGACACACGTATTTGGCGAGGTGACATTCTTGACGCCCTTGGCATCGTTGAACCCGAGGCCGGCCGGCTTGGGACTTTTGGGCAGTCCATCGTCGCGAGATCTGTCTGCTCTTGTCAAGGACTTCAGCAAGCGTCAATATTATATATACATATATATATATATATATTGAGCATCATGTTCTGTAAGGGTAGTAAGGGGGATTTCATTGGACACGTGCACACGCGCGCACAAACACGCACGCACCAAATTACTTTCAGATGGGGATTCCTCACGGAAAGAACTGCGCCACTGACACGAATATGAACCAAGGCAAAATTGATATTGACCCGCGTGTGAGTGACTGATCGCGCGCTTGCTATTTGCTCACTTCAAAGTTGCCAGGATGGGAAAGTGCCTCATGTACAACGAGAAAGTGGCTGGGGAGAAGGATCCCCCGGACCCGCCGGGCTCCGGCTGCTGCTGCCCCCATACGCCGCCCCCGCCCATGATGGGCACCGCGAAGAGTCCCTTCGGCGAAGGGGGCTTGGGGTTGACGCAGAACCGGGGGGCTTCCTCTTCGGAGTTGCCCAAAGTGACTTAAGCCCAGGGGTGGTGGAATCCCGGAGAAGGTGGGATTCCTTTGGGTTTCCCTTCAAAACAATCCGAAAGATGCTGGTGCAGGCTCCCAGTTGTTGGTACAAAGCCCGAGGAAGATGCAGATGCCCAGTGGTGGTGGATTGCAACCAGCAAATATCGGATCCCCTGGGTTTATAGTTTAACAAAATGTTCATTGGGAGTGTCAAAGCATGGAACTCGACCCATTTAGCCGGCCTGTTTTAGCATTAGAGGACGAGACGTGTGTTGATTCCTGGGGGTTGCCTGAGTGGAATGTTGCTTTGGTCAAGACTTCACAATGTGGCCTGCACAGGACCTTAGACTTAGTGGGGCGCCCGGTGCTAGAGCCGATCTAAATGCGGGGTCGTTATACAACCCATGTATAAAGTGTGTATATTATATATATATATATATATATATATATATATATAAAAATCAATATATATATATATATATATATATGCAACCCCCCCCCCAAAACCCAGGTTTTGAACCTGGACAATTGCCAACATCACTAGGGAAAATGCTACTTTTGAGAAACATGTGTATTTTCGCCTCTGCGAAACGCATATTTTTCAAGTTCAAGGCAAGTTCAATTAGTTAGTCGAACAACCAGTCAGCAAGTCAGCTAGTTAGTCAGTTAAATAGTTGTAATGAATGAGCTCTGAAGCCAGTTAGCTAGTTAATTGGCTAATCAGTTAGTTATCTGTTTAGCTGCCTAGTTAGTTAGATAGTACTGAAGGTATTCCCCTAATATTCCCCTTCCCTGACTAGTGAAATATTTAGGGAACACTAGCTAGGGGTATACCAAGAGATACTAAAGGAATACTAGCGCAATACTAGGGGAATACTAGGGCAATACTAGGCACATACTCAGGGAATACGAGGGCAATATTAAAGGTGAATACTGGGATAATACGCCGGAGTACTGAGGGAATACTAGGGGTATACTCTCAAGCTCAATCTGTCTGACTTCTCTCAGGCTTCCTGACTAGGGCAATACTAGGGCACTACTAGGGAAGTACAAGGAAAATATTTATAGGTGAATACCGGAAGAATTCTAGGAGAATACTGAGAGAAAACTAGGGGTATACCAACAGAATACTTCAGGAATACCAGGGCAATACTCAAGGTATTCCCCTAGTAATTCCATCCCTTTACTAGGGGAAATAGCAAGGGAATACTATGGGGTAGTGAGGAATTACTAGGGGTATACCAAGAGACTACTAAATTAACTGAATACTAGTGCAATAATATGGGAATACTAGGGCAATCATAGGGCAGTACTAAGGAAATACTCAGGGAATACTAGGGCAATATTAAAGGTGAACACTAGGAGAATACTATGAAAATGCTGAGAGACTACTAGGGGTATACCAAGAGAATATTTAAGGAATACTAGGGCAATACTGAAGGCATTCCCCTAGTATTACCCTTGCCTTACTAGGAAATATTTGGGGGCACACCAAGAGAATACTAAAGGAATACCAGGGCAATACTAGGGAAATACTCAAGAAAGACTAGGGCAATATTAAAGGTGAACACAGGGAGAATACTAGGGGAATTCTGAGAGAATATTAGGGGTATACCAAGAGAATATTTAAGGAATACTGGGGCAATACTGAAGGTATTCCCCTAGTATTTCCCTTCCCTTACTAGGAAATACTCGGGGCATACCAAGAGAACACTACAGGAAGACTAGGGCAATACTAGGGAAATACTCAAGGAAGACTGGGGGAATACTAAAGGAGCATACTAGGAGAATGCTAGGAGAATGCTGAGGAAATACGAGGCTCAATTTGTCTGGACAAGTCACCAGGGCAATACAAGAAAAATACTCAGGAAATACGAAAGCGTCGCATGCGTTCTTGAGGTCGTCAAAGGTCATATCCTCAGGCTCCTTGGCCATGCTAGGACAGGGTCAGAACAAAGGGCAGAAGAGGAGTAAGGAAGCGCTGGAGCCAGACAGCTTCAAATATGGGCTCGGTTCTGCTCAGATGCCAAGGAAAACTGAAAAAAACTGAAAATACGGGAAAAACTGAAAAAAACTCAAACAAAGACTGAAAAACCAAGGATTCTGAGGGACATGGCTGGGGGGGGTCATGTCCCTCAGAATCCTTGGTTTTTCAGTTTTTTCAGTTTTTTTCAGTTTTTTCTTCTTCAGTTTTTTTCATTTTTTTCATTGTTTTTTATTTTTCAGTGTTTTTTCAGTTTTTTGCAGTTTGTTCAGTTTTGCAGAGAGTTTCTTGTCTGAATTGTATTGAGGAATTGCCAGAGAGTTTCCAGAAAGCTTCCTTGAAAACTGAAAAAAACAGCCTGACAACTGAGGGATCTGGCAGATTCAGGTTTTTGTCAGAAACGCATTAAATACCAGTGATTTCAGACCAAACCTGGGTTTTGGGGGGGGGGGTACCATATATATATATATATGCATATATATATATATACATTCGGTATAGTATTCCGAAATTCCAGGCATACTGTTCATGACTGTACGTGCCATAAGCTTGCCAGTGCGTGCGTGGAAGAGGCGCGGAAGGACCAGGGCTAATTACATGTGTGTGTGTGTGTGTGTTGTCAAGTAGCCTCGAGGGCCAGCACGGAAACACGGAAACACGCGACGAAAAGCGCGGAAGTGATGTGGAAGGCCAGTTTGCCCTTCAAGCCTTCCATACAGTGCTCATGTCGATGCCTGAACTCCAGCAGTGACGAATGCCCGAGCTCCGGATCCCCTCCAGCTCCGGTTCCACCGCCCGGAAAGCTCCTCACCGGTTTCAACAGCATCCGAAAACATGAAGGAGAACCCGCAGCAACCTGTGGCGCCGAAGGAAGAGCGCGCAAGGGCAGTTTTCAGGAGAAGTAATTTAGGACCCCCCCCCCCCGGCAAATGGAGAGCAGCTGGCCCGGGAATTACTGTACTTGGCTTTTTGCCCAGAGATGCTGTGTTTGTTTCACCTGGTGCCTAAAACTCGTTGTGTAAGCATGGGTGAGACAAATGCGAACCCAGCAATAAACTCGCCAAGTTTGTTTGAGCCATGATTTGAATTCACTCCTTTGCGTGCGTTTTGCGCGGGCATGGCAATGCTTTTGAGTTACCCAGCTGTTCGGAACGTGTGCCCTAAGTGAATCACCCGAGTGATTGAGTCCAGCCCGCTGACAACGCCACGAACTCATTTGTCAGTGTTTGAGTTGTGAGATAGGGTTGCTGCGAGCAAACGATTACCAAAATCTAATCAGAGAACTGGCTTGGTTTCCTTTAGGTTTCCCTCAGCAGTGGCAAATTGTTATCTTCTCATGAGTGGGAGGTGACTGGGCAGTCTTCTTGTTCGCCCTTTTTTGGTCAGATTCCAAGTAGCTATGATGCTTGTCCTTGTTCGATGGGGAACACCCTCAGAATGGGTGAGAAAACTGTTAAAGATCCACCAAGGGTCCCCAATCAAGATTCATCCCCAAGTTGCAGTGATGTTCGGGATGTGGTGTGGCTTCTCCCAGGCATCTTGGACCGGTACTGCAAGCGTATCAAAGGACGCCGCTACGTTGGCGGAGCTTTTTCATCGCGTCGTCCAGGTTTTTTTTAGAATCTGCTTCTTCTTCTGTGGTCTCATCACTTTTCGTCCCAACTGTTCAGCGAGTGTCTTGATGTGGGGGAAACATAGGGAACCCTGACGTCAAAAGGGATCCCCTTCAGCAGCCACCGATTGGCCTTCTTTCGACAACCCCCGCAGGTTCTGTCGAAATATCCAGTTTATTGTCCATGTGTGAGGGACACAAAGGGGGTGGGCCACCCAGTTTCAACCACAAAAGCCAAGGGAAGACTCGCAAGTTGCTTGCGGGTCACATGATCCATGGTTGGTTCACCAGATGCAGAGGCCATCAGCAGCACAGCACTCATGCCAGCCAGCAGCGCTTGCCAAAAAAAAACGAAACAACTGGCCAGACAGCTGGTGTTTGGCTTTTCGGCAGAGAGTCTGGCTGTGTGTTTGCACTCGAGTCGCATGGCTCAGCGTGCTGAGCCATTGACTCGAAAGAAGCGTTGCAGGAGAGCTCAACGTCTACGGGCGCAAGCTGGTAACCAGGCGCGAAGATGCAGGTCTCCAGGTCGACCTAGGTGGGTGTGACATGTGCATGGACCGGTGGACATCAAATGTCGGATAATTAGGACTCATGCCCACCAGCCACTTTTGTTGGCTCCCTGCTAAATTTTTAAGCAGGCCACAGGCCACAGGAACGCTTGATCTCGGTCTTGCGGGCTCAGATATCAGAGGCCTTGCCTCAAAAGAGGCAGATGTCCCATTTGCATTCGCCCAGCGCGGGTTTCAACCCCTGGCGCTTTTGGCAGTCCAGGGGGCTGCTTGGATCACCCGGATACCTTTAAGCAGATTGGCTCGCGTCAAAGAGGGTGCAGAGTACCGCTGAGCGGTACCTACGAAATAAGGCACAGACCTGCAAGAAAATAGGTTGCCCATGCTGAGTGGCCCATTTGCGTGCCATGGTCAGACCACAAATTTTGCTTCGTCCTGTTGGAGGTCTTGGACCAAGGGCTCCTATGGGAGACATGTCCGTGGCCCACATGTCCCCAGTGTGCGCATGCAAGGGATCCCTCACCTTTCCTTGTTTGGACCTGCAACGGCAGGTTCGTTGTGAGCCACCAGTCGATTGCGACTTGTGAAGGGGAAATCCAGTGACCGCCAACGTGTCTCATGTGATCTTGTGTTGTTGCTTTGTTTTCGCAGAAGAGTTAGCCCAAGGGACTTGTCATGCAATCACTCTTGCGTCACATTGACGCAGCAAAGCTCTTTGGGTTGGACAGTTGGACCCTCTTTGTTTCTTGTGTTGTGCCCTCCCACAACATGGAAGTGCACGGTTGCTCCCCCTCCGCAAGGACTTCCCACAATTTGTGCTGCTGTTTGTGGGAGTCGCGCAACCCTCTTGGATTTTACACCAGGCCTTCAAGCCTTTCAATCCTGCAGGCCGTCGCGATGCAAAGACCTGTGCTGTGGAAAGGGCATCAGATGTGGCTGCGAATGCTGCTGTTGCTGCCAACTGGATGAACTGCTCACGGAGTTCATCGTGCCTTGATGCGCATGGCCGGTAGAACACCAGGAACAAGCCAACCGGGGAGAAGTGAATTCAACAAAAGCGCTTCCACAGCCCTCCACAACGGTACCTAGAAGGAGTTAGCGGGTTTTAAAGGTAACCCCATCTAGGATCAGCTGTGTAAGGAAAACAAATTTAAAGGAAAACCACAAGAGTTCCCATCAAGGAATTTATTCATCCTGTAGTCAAGTTTCCCTCAAACCCTTCGGCAACGAAACCGAGCCGTTGCCGAGGTCACCACCCACCGCATTTTGGTGGAGCAGCGCGCAGCGCAGCGCTACTGCCGCTGCACCGCGGTGTGCAGGAGACGGGACTCGACTGGGTCGACTCGGTCAAAACTCATTGAGCCGCTTGCAACGCGGCGCTTGGCAGGTGAGGACACGTGGGGCATGCAAAAACAGTTTCAGATGTCAATGTGGGTTTGTCTGCATGAGAACCCCAAATTGTTTGGAATCTTAGATCCAGAGTCTTGGGACCTCAAAACGGTCTGTTTTGGAAGTCCAAGTGCGTCATGCCACAAAAACTGACATGCATTTGAGGAATCCCCTAGAACTAGTATACTGAGTTATGGCGACCGTATATTTGGCGAACCCCGAAATGTAGGGTGTCAAGCAAAGATCCCAGAAACTTCCTCACTCACCTGGATGGGGTCCCAAATTCGGAGAAGCACCCAGATTGTTTTGCGTAGTCGTTCCCCCCTTTATCGCAGTTTGACGGAAGGAGCAGCAATGGCTGCAGAGCAGCTGAAGAGCTGTGAGGTTATTGAAACGCACTCTTTGCTGGGCAAGTGTCAACGGGACATGTGGTACAGAACCTTCATGTTCAGGCGATGTAGGGATTATGTAGGCTGCCTTGCTCCGGCGGCAGTGATTTGGGAGTGAACATTTTCTTAAACAATGACAGCAAGGGCATTACAAGCAACCGCATGGCACACTGTAGGTGTGATCTGGCGTTTGAGAGGATATGAACAGCCAGGGTTTTGTCAAAGGAAGTTTAGGAGCTTCCGTAGTGCGGACACTGGTGCAAGGTAGTCTTTCGCACAGCTAAGATGAACAAAACATGCATATGCGTGGGCAAGTGGAGTCCGCGTCGATGTCAACCGAACTCTGTCTCGACGCCTGTCTCGTGTGCGGGCAGGCCTCGCCATGCAAGATTGCACTCTCCATCAGAGGCGTCAAGTTTCTTCTCAGCTCAAACATCAAGGCAACGCCCAACCCTCAGACCCAATCCTTTTCGAAGTTGCGCCTGTCGCTCAATCTATGCTTGACCTTGCAAAGTGCTGTGCCTGCTGAGAAATCTGCACCTCACCTTGCGAAAGCGCTGCGCCTGGCACGCAATTGAAGGCCAAGCCTTGGCTGCACAGCAGGCCTTTTTGCGTAAATGCTTTTTGCTGTCTGTCTGTCCAGCGCTTTCCCGCCAGCACCTTCGCGAGGTAGGCATAGATTTCGTGGCGGGCACGGCGCTTTCGTAACATCTCGCTGCGGGCGCAGTAGATTTCGTGGCAGGCGCAGCGCTTTCGCAAGGTGAGGTACAGATTTCGTGGCAGGTGCGCAAGGTCATGTTTAGATTTGGTGGCCGGCGCAGCAAGGTCAGGTACAGATTGTGTGGCAGGCGCAGTACGTTTGCAAGGTCAGGTGCATGTTTCGTGGCAGGCGCAGTACTTTGGCAAGGTGCGGAACAGGTTCAGTGGCAGGCACGGCGCTTTTGCAAGGTCGATAGATGGATAGCCAGATTAGAAGAGAGAGAGAGAGAGAGAGAGAGAGAGAGGGAGCGAGAGAGAGAGAGAGAGAGAGAGAGAGAAAGAGAGAGAGAGAGAGAGCGGGAGAGAGAGAGAGAGAGAGAGAGAGAGAGAGAGAGAGAGAGAGAGAGAGAGAGCGAGAGCGAGAAAGCGACACAGAGGAAGATAGAGAAATAGAGCCAGATAGATTGCAATCCGGGCAGTGGAGACTGAACAAATCCAAGAAAGATAAGATGGATATAGAGAGATAGGTGATAGACAAACAGATGCGTACAGAGAGAGTGAAAGAGAGTGAGAATTATATATAGGTAGACAGATAGATAGCCATACGTAGAGAGACAGACAGAGAGACACACAGACAGATAGATCGCCACACAGGTAGAGGTGTAGATGGAGAGATAGATAGAGAAGTAGGCAAATAGACAAATCGATGTGCAATTCGTTTTAGCCTGCGAAACGGCTGACACACAGTTCCACGTTCCTGCAGAGTCCTTGTGAGGACTAGGAATTCCGCACAGTTGGCTGTTGCTCCCCCTTCCGTCCAGGAAAACTCCTGGCATCCGGGTCACCTTCTTGGCACATAATCAGGCCACATGTGGGTGTGAGGTGAGAGGGGGGACGCTTGCTGCTCATCAGCCCATAGGCGAACGAAACGTTCAAAGAGCCTCATGTCCTTACAACCAACAAGCAAGGCCGACAATTTCTGATTCGTTCGTGTGACTCCGTTAGGATTGTCAATGACTGGCACACTGGAGCTGCGCACATCCGCAAATATTTGAGTTTGATGAAACTATGGCGGGAAACAGAATACATGAATCTGAACCACCTTGTGTTGTGTCAGTCTAAATTGGGGATGCACAACATCCTTGCTCCGCAAATGTCAGTCAGAGGTCATCAAAAACGGACGGCAGTTGATGCCAGGAAGACTTTTGCTCCTTGTAGGTTGCGAATGTAGGCCACGCGTGTTTTTGAAATGACTTGAGATTTCGAGCAGTTGCTGTCTCCCTCTCTCCCTCTCTCTTTGTACATCTCTCGCTCTCTTTCTCCCGCTCTCTCTCTCTCTCTCACTCTCTCACTCTCTATCTCGGTGCCTCTCGCTCTCTCTCCCTCTCTGTGTGTTTGTGTGATACATGTCCAGATCTCAAATGCCACCACCTCAATGGAAATTCCCAATGATGGCCGTTTTGCAACTAGCGTAACAAGTTGTCAATATTATTATTTTTGGAGGTGACTGGAGGGGAACTGTCCCAATGCATCCGAGAAGGTGTGCGTTCCTGAGTCTGTGTCACTTTGCTGGGTCCCTTAAAATGAACATGTTGAAGGTTTTATGATTTCTTGTGAGGGTGGTTTTCTTATACACCACTCTGTAGAGGGTACTTTTGAGCACTTTGCGGGTCAGGCGGCGGCATATGTGGGTTTGATGCCGATGAAGACCCTGACTCGCAAGAAGATCCAGCAGGACGTACATACTCATTGAATCAATTGCATCGGGCATTGGGGTTGGCAGCCATTGTGCATCATTGTGCAACTAGATCTTTGCGGCATATTGCGACATGGGACAGTCTTTATTGTGGTTTGGAAGAGGCCAAATGGTAACCCGGCCAATAGGATGCACCATTTGTTCTGCAGCCATCTGCTGAAGGACTTCACGATCAAGCTTCTCCAACAAGGAGCTCGCGAGTATCAGCAAGGCCTCGAAGAGGTTGCAGTCAAACGGGCCGACATTGACCCAACCTTTCCGAACAGCCCCGAAAAAAGAGTTCGAGCATGAGTTGACACCGTCTTCGGCTCCCAAAAAGTGGGCTATTGTTCACAAGCGCCAAGATATCTATGAAGGCAGATGCCATTTGTTTCTTTCCAGCAAGTGATGAGAGGTGCGTCGTTGATGTAATAGCATTATTGTTTGACTGACTTGCACCTTTCGGCCAATAATTATGTTCTGCGCATGATCTATTACGCTTAATCTATCATGCTTTTGCCCCGCAGGCCTCATGCTGCACCAGAAGCCGCAGCTGGGCATGAGTTGGGACAAGCCTGCGGGACTCAACATGTTTAGCATGGTTGCGAAGCAACCTACACGTAGAAGCCATACTTGTTTCCCAAAAGGCACCCTCCTTAGATGCCATTTGCACGCTTTCTTCTTAATGTAACACGTGTGCGCGGACGTGTACCGTAGGCTCAGCAATGCGCAGCCTGCCTTGAAGAAAGTTTGTGCCGCACGGTAAGCTACTTGTACTACAAGTCGGGTGGTCTGTAGTTTTCCGGTTCACAGAAAGTCCAACTGACCCATGGACTCTTCGAGTTACAGCAGCCAAGGTATGTCATTGCAGGGAAAGCGGACGCCTAGCTGCATTTTGAGGGTGGGACGGTGCGTGAATCTGGAGACGACACAGCTTGTTTTTTCCAGCTGTTTCCGCGGCTTGGGCCAGGTCCACTCCAATGCGTTCAGATGAAGTCTGTTAGAACCCCCCCCCCCCCTTCCCCGCAACGGTACAGGTCTTGGGGGACGACAGCCCAAACCGGAGCCTGCCGGGGAGGTGATGCTAGCATCTCTTATATTCTTTGCTTAAACGGAAAAAGTCCTTGGTATCAGGCTAGCGGCTACTGAGGACCTCCCGATCAAGCACAAGATCTGGGTGCCTCACATCAATATGTGGCTTGGATTCAGCAGCTAAACGCTGACTCGTGTGAAACAGGCTTATTGGCATTGTCGCTTGTCGTGTCTTGAAAATGCGTGCCCCTAAAAAGTTGAGTTCCTGGTTGCCTCTAAAGTTCCTGGTTCCGTCTGCAAAACACACAACTCAATCTGCTGGCAGGATCTTTGACCAGCTGACCCAGAGGGCTCCCATGCACGATGACAGCTCAGGCCAGGGCGGATTAAAGTCCGAGTCAACATGTTAGTGGTACACAAATCATAACTATCATGATGCTGGATCTGAATCAAATGTTCAAAGGGCAAGATAAAGCTACCGACTGATTCTGGCAAGCTTGGCTCAAGCCACAAGCTCAAGCTGAAGCAGACCTAATATATCATGCATCTCACCTGACTGTAGCTGAAGCCATGTACCGCCTGCTGTTTGCTTCCTCGGTAGCCTTGGCGCATGCTCTAAAGTGTCGCTGTGTTTTTTCCGATGAGACCATTGTCTACAATGCTGGTCGCCAGCCTGGTGTGTGTGGCACTTTTGCTGGGCTGCTTGTTCCAGGTGAACCAGCCGGCCTTCCCGAAGCGCGGGAAGCCGGTGGTACCTGAAGGTTGCGATCCCAAGGACTTCGCCGTCGAGCCTTCGAAGCGAAGGAGCCTTGGAGTTGTCCTCGGAGGTGAAGGCGGATCCAGCGCAGATCCCTTGTGTTTACAGTGTGCACAAACAGCTGAAGACTTTTGAGATTCCCGTTGTGGAGAGGGAGCCCGCAGTCATCACCACGCAATTGTGCTTCATCTTGGACGAAGTACATGGGAAGCATGAAGAGCAGATCAATCAGGCAGAGTCCAGTTGCAGGAAGATCGTGGATGCCGTGAAAGCCATGGCCTTTGACCATATGCCAGGTGCAACTGTGGATTTGGGGATGACCGCCATTGGGTACAATGACTGGGATGAGGAAACCGCGAAAAGGAACCGGCCTGTCGTCTTTGCCTATGGTGGCAGTGAGATCAAGAAGAATGATCCGGACATCAGCCTCACAGAGTTCAACCTGAGAGGCAAGTTCGCCAAAGACACGGATGACATGAAGTGGATCAAGCGGCCTGGTAGAGGCAAGGAGCCGGAAAAGCTTCCCGGGCGCCTTGCTGGCTGCCACCTGCCCTGGACCGCAAACGAGCGCTTGGCCGTGGTGATCACAGGCCACGACTCCTGCACCTCTCATGCACGGGCGAGCCAGAAGTGCCCTTGCCGAAGCTTAAGGTGCAGAATGCGCAAGTCATGATTCTTCACCGGAGAGCCACATGCAGAGAAGATGTGCCAAAAGCTGAAGCAGACTTCAGAAGCCTCATTTCCGGAAGGTGCAGCCGTCGCAGACGGCGAATCGCCTGGTCTCATCAGCCAGAAGCTCGAGCTGAGTCCTCTGACCTACTTCTTGAAGCTCTGTACCGGCAAGTCTTGAGAGGCAACTGGCCATACAGTGGAGTTGAAGACTGAAGATGCCAAAGTCCAGCTGGGCCGAGATGATTTGCCGTGGTTGGGGAAGCCATTTGCCACCCCCAAGGTGGTGCTCACTCGTCCTGCAGATGCCGGCTTAGATGAGTGGTGGGAAGTGCAGACAGCGGAGCAGGAAAGCTTTGATGCGGATGAATCCTGTGTGCTCAAGATGGCTTGCAAGAGGCGGCAGGACACAAGCCGTGGGGCAGACGCAGTTTGAGAGATGCTGAGCTCTGCGACACAGTACACATACCTAACTTGCAAGTTTTATTTCGCCCATGGTGTTGCAGTGTTTGCACGGCCGCCATTTGCGTAAGTGCACAACGCCACCTGCTGAAAGCAGGCAAGGACTGAGAACTGAGAGAGCGCGCGCGCAGGCGCAAGAAAAAAACTGCTCACTTCTTCATGCATATTCTAGGCAAGCTTGATGGGCGGAGATGATGGGAGGGCCTGATTGTAACCTGCCAACTGCCATTTTGAACTCTGCGCTGGTTGTCCTCCCTTATTTTCACCTGCCTTGAACTTGGCTCTGCTAGTTTTGCGGTTTTTCCAGATCAACACGGTCATGATATCGCATCAGAGAGGTTCTTCCCTTCAGCCACTGTATTGACTCGAAGCTCACGAGCGCAGGAGAAGACGATGACTCCGACGAAGACGAATTCTACGAGAACATGTAGCGAGGTAAACCGCAGGACTCCGTGAGACGAAGCTGAGCTCTTGAAAGGGCGTGCTGTCTGTTCCGTGTCACTGTACTGTAGTGGAGGCTCACCATTTGCGTCTCAATATACGGAATGTTCGATCCACACAGTGTCCACACATGTACAAGTGGGCGTGCTTCACCCACTTTCAGAGGCTTCTCCAATTTGGATACAAGACCCACGTGCACACACAGCTGTCCTTGCAGGACTGGTGAGTGAGAGGGGCAATAGGACGCACCCTGATGCTTAGCTGCCAAAGCTGACAATGTTGCTTCAGGAAGACGGGCTCGCCTGGCGAGAACAGACGGGCACCTGAAATCTAATGTTGCCGCAAACGACAGCAGTGCTCTGTGCGCTTGTTGATTGATCTAATTATTCTGCGGTGTGCCAGGTTGCACGTGCCCGTTCTTCAGATAATGGCTGGCGCGCTAGCGCAACGTTTGCGCGACCGAGATTACCAAGTCGAAGCTGCCTTGAGCACATGCATGTTTCCTGTTGAGAATGCTGCTGAGGCGAGCATGTTGTCTTTTGGGTGCACACAAACAGAGAGTATGATGTCACAGATAGGTATCGATTCAAACTCGCAGACATGACATACATGTAGGCAAGAGATGTTGGCTTTTTGGCCGGTGAGAGGTTGTTTGGAAGTAAAGCACTTGTCTGCCAAAGCCAAAGCTTAGATTGGTAGCAAATGCCAATGGTGCTGTATCATTTGTGCACGTTTGGTTCTCATTTGTGCAGCGTTTCAGGCCATTTTAGTAGGTGGTTTACTCACTATACCTAGTTTAGTTGGGATTGTAGTGAACAAATATAAACCTTTATCGTCATGTTAGTAGCACCCAAAGTCAATGTCATTGGGGCGCAGCTCGTTTGCATGGTGGCATCATAGCGGGCTAGGCAAACTGCAAGCTTCAGACTTGGCGCCGCTTCCATAACCTGAGCAGGCCGTGTCGCATTTCAGAGTCATTGGCTCCAGTAGGGCACAACTCAGCTGACGACCAGGAATTTGCATATGAAGCCTGCGTCAGCCTGTTTTGGTGAAAGTGGCCGGATTCTCCGTGACGGTGTGTTTGGCGTTGTATGTGTAGAGGCGTGTTGGACTCTGAATGGCGACTTGAACTCACTTGGATGGCTAAAAGCATCCGGCAGGTAGATCCGCCCTGGCGGGTGAGAAAACGAAGCACTTGCCTTCAGGCAATACACGTGCGATGCTAGGCCAGGATCAGCAACGGGCCAGCAGCACTTTGACCTTTGTGTGCTTTTGCCAGTGCCACACTCAGTTTCACCTTATTGCCCTTTTTCACCTTGGGACCCTTTGGGGTTTGCTTCGTTTTCCATTTAAAAGCAGCAACGAGTCAAGTCGTTGCAGGGGTCTAAGTCCGGCCAAGTTACTTTTGCCAGGCAGCCTGGATGTAAATCGTTTTGCAGCGTTGCTTTTGCTACGTTGTTTTCTCGGACGGCATCATCAGCTGCGGCCGTTTTTAGCCAAGATGTGTCAACTGTTTTGGAGTGGACGTTTGCAGTTGCACTGCTGGCAGCAGGTTTTGTCTGGCTTGCTTTTGAGGGACTCCAAAGGGAAAAGCAGATCATTTCCGGGGCTTCAGACAGGCCAACAAAATGTGCGTCTTTTGTTACATCTTGAAAGGAACACCATGTTGGAAGCCCTCTAAAATTGGCACTAGCTGACGGAGTTGCGGGGATTTAGTCCACGGACACCTCAGGTTGTGGTAGCACAGAGCCCAGTGCTCTTTGAGGCGCGAGTTGATCTGTGAGGTCTGTTCAACCCCCAAAGGACACGCCTCTTGAAATGGATTTGTTGGGTTACAAGTCAGTCTGGGGGGAGTAATTAGGGTTTATCAGTTTTCCTTTTGTAACTGCACAAATTTGAAGGAGTTATTGGTTAATTAAGTGGTTCCATCTGGACATGTAAGGGTTTATCGGTTTGCCTTTAAAGAGAGCCTTCCATCCCCCCAAAAAGTAATGGTGTATTGCCAGACTGCGGATTGGTCCGAACCCACACTTTTCCATCAAGACCTGCGTTGGTCTTGATTGGCCTTGCTAAGGCGTATCAACTCCAAGCTGACCCTTGAGGGGGTGTTGTTGTTGTTGTTTTGGGTTTGGATTTTAGTAAGGCCCCTGATACAGCAGGTGGACACACATGTGCCATGGTCAAGCACCGTTTTACTTGCAGTTGATCAGGACAGCACGGGCATAAAGCCCTTACAGGGATGTCAAGCAACCAATAAAGAGGTTCGTGCCATGTCCATGGCCTACACACACAAGTCATGAGCTTTGACAATGGCGCATTGGCTTGAGCGACTGACTCTTATATCAAAGTCAATCAGACCGTGACCAGCCAAACGGACAGTCTTCAGCAAGCTGCGACCCTATATGGCACTGATAGCACGCGGCAATGCTTGCCTTTGAAAGTACGTCGCATGATTATCTTTTTACTGATTCGCCCTGCTCAAAAACAGCCAGCCAGCGGTACATTGCACAGCTCAAAGTCGGTAGGATTCAACATGTTAGGAGCTAGGGCCTATTGACGGAGGCCTGAACAGCGGTTTTGTGTTCTGGATGTGTTTCCCCTTCAGCAACGTCGGGAAGTAAGGCTAGCAGTTCACATGGGGAGCCCAAGGGTGCCTTGAGGGGAACAGGGTCCAAGCCAGGAGCCCCGGTTGGGTTCCGGATGGCAAAGTGAGAGGCGAGCCGTGTTTTCTGTCAGATGCTGGAGCAGCTACCCATGAACGAGCTGCCCAAGGCGGGCACTGTGACGAACATGCCAAAAGGTGCGGCCATTGATTCGTTGAAAGCTTGGGGTTTTCGACACCCAGGTTTTCGACACCGAAGCTTTGAGCCAGCCTTTGATCGAGGTCCCGGAAGGTGAATAGGTATTTTCCAGGTCCTGGCTGGCGAGAGTGAGGACCCCAGATTAGTAAACCCAAGTTTATTGATATGGGGGGTGCTTTTTCCTGGTTTTAGTGGGGGATGTATCTTACTTTTGGAGGGAAACACCCCCATGTGAATAAGAAAATGGGCTTTATTAATCCCGGGTCAAGATTAGTGAGGACACGGTTTCATTCTCCTTTCAGCAGGAGAAGATCCACGCCGCGGTGGTGCGCATCGATGAGCGGATTTCCCAAGAGGCGGCTTTCGCTCGCCATGCCGCCGATTCTATGGCGAGCTGAGCTTGGGGTAAAACAAGCTCGTTGTGTCCTTTTGTTTGTTGATCCCAATGCCAGCTTGGCAAATGGCTGTGGGTCAAAAATATATGTACCCAAAATCGAACCCTGGTAAATGGAAACTTGGACTGCAACCTGCGGTCCCCTGGTGATTTAATTTTGACCCACACCCAAATACTGTTTTCAGAAGAATGCTGGATGGTCCCATTCAAAAACAAGGTGTGGAACCCCCCCCCCCCAGCTAGCCCCCCTCCCCTCAAAGGAGACTTCTCTTCTACCCACCAACGACTGCCTGGAGTGCATAATATTTGTACTGGTTTTGTATAACACGTATGGTTGTGTATGTCATATATTTTAAGGGGGGTCATCTAAAGGGACAAGAGCGGGCAACTGATCGTTTGTTGTTGCGTTATTTGTTTGTTTGTTTTTTTAAAGAATGGGGGTGAGGGTGGCTGCATTCGGAGGCAACCCATTGCGCAGCGCCAGTTGAGAAGGCACGGGAATGAAGCACTCATGTGCAGGTGTGGCGAAGCGTCCTGCAGTTTATGTACCAAGGCCACGCGGGACTAGCTTGCCAGGATTTGAAGCTGCCCCAGATGGTAGTGGCCTCCCTGCGGACTAAGGATTGGGATAAGGGATCTGCCATTTGAAGCAACCTAGAGCTTGGCTCATGATGTTTGCTTCAGCATCTTGTGTCCCTGGCAAAACCCTCCAAAACACATGTTGCCTTTGCCACCTTTTGCAGTCTAACAGATCTCAGGGCCAACGCACCCGGGATGTTCTCGCTTGATTTCATGGAGTTTGCTCGGATGGGACGCTGAGGCATTGCTTGCTTCTCGTTAGCTCCATGGGGCCGCGTGAGGCACGCTCCATCCAGAGCACTGTGCCTACCTCAAAGACATTGGCAA